CCAAGCCACCAATCAAAAACAAACAAAAAAAGAAGAAACATTAAATTGATGTACTCGTACCTACACATCAACTAACTAATAACTACGAATACACTTAAATTACCACTGCATTCTTCATTACCTTCATCTAAACATAAAAAGAAGCAATTATCCTGCTGCAGGACGGACGCATCGCAAGTAGGTGACTATGACGCGCGATCGTAATCGACGAACATGAAATCGCAATCGGACGCTATTCATCAAATCGCCTGTTATATTACGCGTACAAAACGCGCGTTTTTTAGGCGAGCCCGGCGCGACTGACGAGCCAACAGCCAACTTTTGTAACGGTAAAGCTACTGTCGCGGTATCATCCACACACATACACACAAACAGAATATCCGACCGCAATATTAAACATTTGCAACAAAAAACATCAACAACGACTACTCAGATTACACACCTAGTCGTAAACACATTTCATATTCGTGTAATCGCTCCACCACAACTCAACAACATTACATTACTACACTACTAGTAATTTGCTACCGTTTTATTTCCAATCAGAAATAGAATTTTTTCAAAAAACAATTTTTACGTAAATTTCTGTTCATAACGATATCCAACAATGCGGAACACAGCAAAGGAGAAAACGTAATCGAATAACAATTACACTTTACGTGAAACACAAACAAAAACCACGATTCATATCAAATCCAATGTGACTTAAGCTACAAAACGTAAAAAAATATAACAAAAAAAAACGCATAACGGATGTGTATACCGGCACGCGCACAGAGTTAAATCAAACCTGCCAATATTACAAGCGTAAGCGCAAGCGCAGGCACAAGCGACTTAAGTAGAGCGTGCAATTTGTTCATAAGAATATAACGATAACTATAAGTTAGACCCGAGCGAAAAACACAAGACACAAGACATCAAGCAAAGTCATAGTCATCTAGTCGAGGCGGTGCAAGAAAGAAGAAGACTTTTTATGCAAACATCTATCACTAAAATTGCAGCAGCACGCCGACGAGCGTGTTGTGTTGTGTGTTTGTTGCTGGCTGGCTGATGGTGGCGACTCACTCAAACCAGAACAAAGTTGTTTATATTTAAATCGTGACATGGATTACGCTTCGAATAAATTATTTCTGGTCGCCTACACTTGAGTGCCACGACTTGCAATACTCGTTTGGAACATTGTATAAATTACTAAGTTATTGCGTTTAAATCTGCATCAGGCTATTGTTAATCAAGAGCAAGAGCAAGTTCAAGATTTAAAATAATAAATTTTAAGTTACTTCGGTCAGAAAGTGAGATTTAGAGATGTTTTTTGAGAAATATTTTAAGAAAAATAAATTACGGTTGTTAAATTTGTGTTTATGTTCGTTATAAAGCAGAAAATGAAGTAAATATTAATGATTTTTAAGAATTAAATTAAAATTTAGAAAAATATTAAATTGACCAATGCTTTGAGTTGCGGTATAAGTACCGAACATATTCCTATACGAATAAATGCATCAATAACTAATATTTTACTTAAAAATTATAAAAAATTGAAGTATTAAAGTTATAAATCAAAAATGAGCAAAAAATTAAATGAACCAATGCTTTGATTTGCAGTATAAGCACCGAACATATGTAAAAATACATAAATCCTATAATAACTCACACTTTACTTAAAATAAAAACAAAATTACTTTATGAAATTAACAAAACCCAAAAATCAAATTAAATTAGAAATTAACAAAAATAAATAAAAAACCTATGGTTTGACTTCCGGTATAAGTACCGAACATACACAATATATTTAAAAACGCAATTATTTTATGAAATGAATCAACGTAGACGCATTCTCAAACTGAATTCTGACTCAAGTTGAGCAGCACTGCAGCAAGTCCATTCGGTCCAAAGACCGAGTGAAAGTTCCGGGATGCCACGCTGCCACCACTCGTCCGCATTAAAACCGCACCGACCGCCACGTGCATCTCTTCTCATCGATGCAACGCCACGCACATCATCAAAGCGCCGAGAAATAAGAAATCGATGCGATGATAATATCCGCATCTTTCTTCATCACAATCATCATAATAATAAAACTAATAAAGTAATGCAATAAAACCACACGTAAATAATAAAAATAAAAATATTAAATTTACAACTTGAGAAGAAAAAAAAGAAAGCATTTTCTCAAAATAGTATCTATAATATCTACATTTTGGCACTGTATAATTAATTAATAAATAATGAATAACAACAAATACGCGTCAAGTGTTTAAAGTGTTTAGCACTCTTCAAACTTTCATTTTTGCAAAACCGCTAAACACAACTTCCCATATTTTTTATCTTCTCATTATAATTTCGTTTTCGTCGTCGTCGTTTTTCTGCTTCACTCTCAGAGCAATCGGGCAATTAAGTTTCGCAATCTTGTTCTGCAGCCAGCAGCAGCCGCCAGCACAACTCATGCTAATTTAGCAAATTTTATAACACGTTATTGCCTTAATGCAAAAGCCGACTTTTCATTCAATTGAGATACGACGGATGATTACACCTATTCATAGTGTATCCATATCCATCTATTTTATAATAGACATCAATGCAATCGCCATCAGTCGAGTCATTAAAACAAAATTGCATTATTATTATTTATTGATTCATGTAACAAGTTTCTAATTTCGCTTTTAAATCTTTACATTGAGATATGATACAACAACAAATTAAATTCTATTCAATTATATTTTACTAGTTTCGTCCTCGTAAGTTTAATAAAAATGGAAAAATTTTTATTTTCTTGTTTAAAACCTCGATTTTCATCAATAAAATTCGTAATTTTATGTTTAAAAACATGAAAAATGCTAATAATGCCATCTAGGATTCAATTATTTAGTTATAACTATGATTGAATCCCTATATCAACTTTCATCCCTTATTTTGCACCCTTAAAGTAATAATTTTTATATTTTAATCGTTATTCTCTTATTCCAAACAAAACAAATCCAAAAAATCATAAATCACCAAAATCTGTCCGGCAGTTCTTGAGTTATAAACGTTGTAACTAACATTTTATATATACTTTTAATTATTTCATAAAAAAACACATTTAATTCCTATTTTCCTAGCTTTTACTTTTTAATATCTCCTTACATATTCCGTTCCTTGGTTTTTTTTTGTCTATGCACCATAATGTCGTCCGTATTGATTTTATCATTAGAACCCAACATTTAAGCCAACCAACCAAGTGCAAATATCACCCCCAAGCCCATAATGTCACATTACATCCAATGCTCGCCACCAGATGAAAGCATTTACTAATTTACGACCTCATTACTCAAGGAATACTCATTTTCGCGCTTAGTTTTTATATCCAAGTACAAGTAGAATGATTGATAAACGTTTGATGTACGTGGTCACTAGTCTACTGTAAACACATTAAAAAGGTTGAGGTCATTGAATGATCGCATGAATGTTGAAAACAATACATTGTCGCTGCCAACGGCGCAATTAAACATTACATTTTTACACCACACCACACACTACGAGTATTTCGGGATTGAAATTATTTTGATAACTTGCGCAAGAATATAAAATACGAAAAAATAATAAAAACCGTGATTATGGTAGCATGTTCGTGTGAATAATTGGCGGTGAGCGTCTTCGCAGGTCAGTGGATCGACGTTTCAGGCCGAAAAAAGAAATAACGTCAATTGATACACACCTTGCATGACTGTGTTATTCGAGTGTTTGGAATACAATTCCGCGTTAAAAACAAACAAGAAACAAAAAGCATACGAGTACTTAAATCTGAAACTGGAATATTTGACTAACAAAAACAAAAGGTGCTAATTATAATCAACTTCCCCAGCAGACTATATTATTTATATCTGTAATAATAAACTATAGTTAAGGCACATTTACGTGCTGTTAACAAAAATAACTGATAAAATTGTGTAATTAAAAAAGTATTTGGAAACGATTTAATTTATTCGAATATTTTTATGAAATTCGCAAAAAATAAATCAAATTTCAATTTAAATTGTTTATAACTATTTGTGTACTTGTTTAATAAATAAAATATTTGCGGAATTAGATCAGAATTTAACTGAGATGTACTTTAGATAAAATCAGAGCGTTAATGCAAGTAATTTCCGAGTAATTAATTAAAATCTAAATTAATTCATGTACTACTTAAGGATTATAAAAATTCCATGTAAAATGTTTACTCTTTGATAGATAATTTGAAAACTAAGCAAGTTATAGCTATAATTTCTTCAGATTATTATTTGTTACTAAATTCTTAATAAAAATGTACAAAGAAATTTTTGATAACATATCTTTATCAAAAGTTATAAACAAATTTCTACCAATTTCCAAAAAAATAAGAAAATGAACTTTAATTGATAATAACTTTTTATATAATATTCCAATCAACAAAATTTCAACGTTAATAAACCCAGAATCTAATACAGAAATTATTCTGAAACAATCATAACTCTAATCCTAACAGTTTTCGAGTAATTCAATAAAAACTTCTAACACTACCACAACTATACCGAATATTTATTTCTCTCACGCCACGCAAACTCGCCGCGTCTATACATAAAATTTGCACAATATTGACCTTTAGGTGTGTATGTATACTATGAGCTATTCGGCGCGATAAGCAAACTTCTATTATTATTCCCATTTCGTCTGATGGACTAGTTTGCTTTGCTAAATTCGTAAATTAACGAATTCACCGATTCACACTTCGCACGCTTTGCTGATTTGGAGCAAAACGACTTCCAACTCCGCACACACAACCACACACCAACAAAAGTGGCACACATAATAAATTCAATATACAACTAAATATAGAATAACTCGTATGCATTCGGCTCAAAAATGAAACAATTATAAACGAATTAACACACACAAAAACCAGAAACATGAAATCTGTTTGTTTTATGCATCCAAGCATAACTGCAACAATTCTTTTCTCTTCAATTTTATCGAAATTTTATTTTTATTATTTTAAAACTTACATATCCAGACATTGCCCATCGGCGCCACCTGTAGCAGCCTCGCATCGAAATCCAACCCGGCGAGATCCTCCTGCAGGCGCGTAATGTCCATCGAGAGGGCCCGCTCCGGCACGAGAAACATGTGGTCCGTGACGGTCAACATATTGGCCACACCACCACGTGCGTAATAAATATTCGTAGTCAATAATAAAAATATTATTACACTCCGCACCTAATCCTGTATTCAGTCCGGTATGGCGATTGCCAACACGCGATTGGCATCGACTACCGAAACGCCGACCGAAAATAACTCGGTACATGTGTTGCAATCGGCAACATTTCACAAAATGTGCATTCAATTAATACTCTATATTCTCATATTAACAGCCACACACGCAAATTTTTATATAATCGCACAGATTTAAACATAAACAACACAAGTATTATCAATGTTGAGTTTGCAGCTGCGTAGAATTAATATATTGATAGGAGTAGAGGCGATCGTATGTGGTGTGTATCATTGCGTTTTTATTTTAATTGGTGATGTGAACTATATTTATTATCGCGCAACGCGGCAGGATTAACGCGACGGACAACCGGCTGCGACGAGGAGAGGCGCGCAACTGAAAACGCGACTCGCGGCCGGCGATGAAGTCGAACACACGCAACTCGTAGCGACTCATACTCCAAAAGTTTGTGCTTCATGGTGGAAGCGCGACCGGCAGAGTATACAGCGCATATCAGCATAATATTTGCCTTGTTGGCGTTGGCTGGACGCATCAACTTGACCAACATTGAGTAGTGTAACAAGTGTAACTTGTGATAGAAAATTAATTAAACTAAATTAAATATTTTTTTAGTTTTAAATGAATATTTTCAGATGTTAAATTATATTTAAAAATCTGTTTGTACGTCTTGTTGGCTTGAATTAATTATTTATGTTTATAATTCTGTTTTGATAATACAAATGTATGTGAATGAAGTGTCTGTAGTTTATTTTTTTGAGAAAACAAAAATATTTATAAAAAATATTAAATGTTCAGTATTGTAAATTATATAATAGGTACCTTTGAGAAATTTATTCCAAAAATTTATCTTGTAGGCGTAGTAGTCGTAAACATTATTGTAAGTATTCTATTTTCGGAATGCAAGGCAAAAAATCATTTTTCGTGCGTTGTAACTAGTTTTTATGAACTGATACAATTTGTGTGCAAAAATCATACAATATTTTCGGGCCGTCCGACAAACGTTGTAACTACAAAGATATTGTTTTATGAACTGATTTTTTATACAATTGTATTTTATTTTATTTGTGTGATAATAATGCATTCGCTGTACTTTTAATTAATCAGAATAACTAGCGTAGTCTTTTTGCACTACTTTCTGAATCAGGTTTTTCAATTATCATTTGTGCCAACAAGAAACTTGCGATTTTTTTAGTTTAAATTCTGTTTTTTATAAATTTTTATGATATTTTAATAATTATTTCGCTATCAAGAGGCAATAAAAAATATAACTCTTAATTACTGTTAAAATTAGTAAATCTAAGAAAGTTCTCCCTCGAAAAAATAATAATCCTGCTATGTTCGCTTCTTAAACCGCAACTCAAACACAGATAATTACTTATGAAATCACCAAAGAATGCACCAACCCAACATAAACAATTCACGATTCGCATTTACCGACCTCCACCTTGAGCTTAGGTGCATACCTAAACACAAACGCACTGCACATTCCTGCTTTAGATATGACTAGAAGCCAACTACCAAACACTTCCAACATTCTTGAGTTAACAAATCATCCTCATAATCAGGTCCTACACAAACACGCACAGCGCTGTGCAGTAGCGCCGAGAAATATGAAACTAGACAACGCTTGCGCTTGTTTTCTACTTCAAAACGCCCGGTGCTATCGGGCGTAGCTCGTAGCTCGGCTGACATGACAAATTTTCATCGTTTAGAAACAGAAAAGTTCATCATGTGAATATACGCGGGTTGCAGCGATATACGGTTTTCGCTGGCCTTGTCACGCGGTGATAAATGCATTATTCTCCTATCATCGCGTAGGTACTAGTATAGAGGAAAAAGCTCATGAGTTTCGCGAATATTTATCTCGTGCAACGAGTATAAAACAATGTAATATTTCAAACGCTTGTTTTTTCTATATTTATTAAAGCTAAAAGCTCAATAACTAAGAGATAAAAACGATTTTAAAATCAATTTTGATGTGAAAACAATTTGATTCTCTTAATTTTTGAGTTTGACGCATTATTTTAATTTTTTCCAAAATCCAGGACTGATATTTTCAGTCAATTTACTCTAAATTTTTGCTAACTATTAAAATACTCAAAATTTTCGATGCGAAAGTATTCGCGGACTTTATATTTCCACAGAAAGTATCATAGGCAACCCTCATTGTAATACCAGTTAGTTGACTGTGTATTTTAAGTTGCCTACCCATTAATCTTTCAGATATATAATATAAGTCGATTAAACTTATAAAATTCAACGTAATAAATCAAAATAACACTATATTGAACAAATAATAAATAATTTTACTTACAAAGCTCATTTTCGTAATCAAAGTGTGTAGAAATAGAATGCCACATACCTGAAACAATAAAAACCAACATATAAACAAATTGTACTCCGAAACACTAAACAAATTCCATGAAAAATCCGAGAATTATTTGAATTAGACTGTGCGACGACGTAAAAAAACATTCAGAGTACGAGTATGATTTCAATTAGTTGCTTCCTTGAAGCAATCAAAAACCGCAGTTATATTATACCTCAACAACAACAAAAAATATCAAAGTCAGCAAATAACACAACATTGCAACAATAGTAGCAATAGTACCAATCAAGTGTAATACAAGTAGGTACAAAGTGCATATCATGTGATCGATTTTCGACTTTCGACTAATTATCCGTCAATATCCGTCCCACATCCTGTTTGTAAAGTCGCCCGAGTCGCACTACAAATCGCTTAAATGTTGCATAAAAAGCACACGCGCAACAACGTCCGAAATCGTCAATTTTCTATTGAGTAAGGTGAATTATTCACTTTCTCCGCGCGCGCCGTCTCGCGTCAATCGACTGACTTCGACAAATTTTCGAAAAGCATTTCGTTTAATTAATTATACAAAAAAGCGCTTTTTAAAATAAGCATTAATTGCCCGTCGACTCTTCGAGAATCCACAATTTCACCAAAATTCCGCGCGCTAATAAAGGAAGTGGATGGTGAATTTATCGCCTCATTTATGAACTGACAGAATACTAAATTTATTTATATTGTAAATTATGATGAATCAAATCTTTTTTTATTGAATTAATTTATTTTTATTCTTCAGCTGCTGGAGCTCTCAAAATTGAATAAAAGAAATAAAAATAAGGTGAGAGGTTAATTTGATTAATTATTCACGCTACTACTTGCTACTCAGAACCCTTCTCATTGTCATCATGTCAAGTAACTTAAGAGTCAACACTTAGTGAGTGTGCTTGAAGAGTGGAATTTAATTAACCATGGAATGTCACTGCATTTCATGCTCACAACAAAAATAAAACAGTTTCATTGTAGTAGGTACTCGTATAAGTAATGAGTATTACTCAAAATCACTTGAATTATGTGGTTACTTAAGAAAACATGAGTAATACAATACAAAACATGAATTCATTTTCATAAAATTTCATTTATGATTAATAGTGATTATTTTAATCAAAAAACTGTTAATTTCAGGAAATCAAAAATTTTTTTTTTACAGGAACATTCTGTGCAAAAATGTAATCATTGTTAAAATTTCGCCGTTTTACAGAATTTGTCGTTAAATCGAGTAATGTTAAACTGAAATTATCGTGTATTATATATTTCGGAATATAATACGACAGTTTTTCATAACAATCATCGCAATATTATAACTTTTTTCGCAATAATCTAAAAATAACAATAATAGCTGTAAAATTGTTGTTAAATTATTATTTATACCAGAATGATAAACCGGAAATTGCATCATAAGCAGTCACAGATTCACTTGTTTTTGTTCGGCTTGGTTGCATTATGCAATAAATATCAAAGAAACAAAGAGGAAACAATACCAAACCGTAAAACTTAGAAAATTGCGGATTTCCTCTGCTTCAGATTAACACTAAACACGATTAAAGAAAGTGATTTATTTCATCCTGCATTTTTATTCTCTTTTTAATACCAAAACAACTTTTTATTAAAAATAAACTCAAACGTTAAATATTACGTTACCAATTTAACATAGGCAACTTGTTAGACTCAAGCACACACAAACCTATCTACTACCATCCAACTGCTCTTCCTACCATTCACAATCCACCATAGACCTACTACTATTATAATATAGGCAACCTTTTATACGTGAACCATACGTGCGTTGCGTGTACAGTTGTCACTAGTCACCACTCACTGCATTTACATACGAGTACGAAGGAAAACTGTGTCAATACACCCAAGTTCTAATAAATTAATTCACAGCTCCGCAGCACAACACACTCACTAAAATGATGATTGTTGCCACAATACAAAATACAACAATATGGCTACAGTAATGTTGGAAAAAAATTCTTGAGGAATGATGTCATCAGACAGTTCCTCACGCTTAGCGGACAATGCGCAACCGTTCGAAACGTTTCCTACGCGTTTATATTCAACAAAAGCGCAAACTATTAGTATTTGATTAGTATATGAATACTTGTATAGTTACGGCACCCTTATATGCAAAGAAAAAATTGTGTGCTTTAATATTATTAATTTTTAATTATTTACGCAAGAATTAATTAATTTACATTAATAAAATCAAAGATTTTAATATTATTAGATTATTGTGGAAAATTTTATAGAAATTTTGCATTTATTTTATAAAATAAGCTAATTTTAAGTTTAACTGCTTATATCTTATTGTACAATAATGTTAATAATAATTAATAATTAATCTTGCAGTCGGATGCAGAATTTAATTGTGAATTGACTTGTAAAAGAAACAAATACAATATTCCAATATTTTTTGAGTAATTAAATAATAACTTGAGTAAAGTTAAGTAAACATTTACTGTACGCTATACCCTCACAATATCGCCAAAACGATATTTTTACTAAACCATTGCAAGTCAATGCAAGTATTTGTCAAGCCTGATGTGCAATGCAATGGTTTAGTAAAAATATCGTTTTGGCGATATTGTGAGGGTATAGCGTACAGTAAGTGTTTACTTAACTTTACTCAGCTTATACTCACCCTCTCGTACTACCTACCATTGTATTTAAATAATACTACATTGTATTTAAATACTACTACCGATAGTATTTTAGTAATTACACGGAAACTAATCAACTTTTGTCATTATTTTGAGCAAACATCTCTTCAGTATTAAATTCTAAATTGATTTAATCAAAATATTAATTACTAATTATTTTTTCGCAAAAAATACAAATAAATTCGTCGAAATTAAAGAAAATATGCAAAATTCAACTTTAATTGTTAATAACTTTTTAGGTAATCATCCGATGACCAAAATTTTTATACAAGGTGATAAATAAGTTCATTGGAATAACTTTTTGAAAAAATAATAATTACAACGCTAATAAGCTTCGAATAATTAATTAAAAACAAATAAAAACAGGCAGTTACTAATAATACAAACAAAAATATTTCCAACACTTTATACTTTAATTTAATGTGTTCTAGGTGGGTTTTGAAGCTTTGGGAATTCGATCGATCCATGAGTTACACTAAAACTCACATAAAATACCCGCGCCTATAAAAATAGATTTCGCTAATCGATAAAACGCGAAATTTACTCACAACCTAAAAAAATATACAACGCAACATTCACTTCTTCTCCTCAAAAACAAACAAAAATTACATTTAAAAAGTAAAAGTATTTATATCGATGTGAAATAATTATAAATAGCTTCACTGATTAATTGCGCACGATGGCACCGGATGAGTAGCAAGTTGCAATTACTCTAAACAATCCAAACAATCGCCGATTAAGATTCAATCAACCTGCGGAGGTGCACCGCGCTGCACCTTACACCTTCCTTTCGATTGTTCTAAATCCGCGCACTGCAGCTAATCCAACTAATCATTCGCAATCTTCAATCAACCTTGTCGCACGAGTTACACTAGTTACACCATTCTTACATACACTTTGCAGTACTATGGACGGATATAATCGATAAACGTAATAAATGCAAAGCCTGTATCGCAGATAAAGTGATAATAAAGTAATTAGCATTATTATCATGATATCATGATTAAATATTGTGCGAAATTCAGTAATACAAGACTATATTAAATAATATTTAATGTAGAAACTTTCCCAAATTGTTTTATGAGTTCAATATTCTTCTTTTCGCAATAAATTTCATTGTAAATGGTCAACTAATCTGTTACCTGAGTGCGACCTTTCTTTTATCTATAATCCCACCCTTTATGATGGGCAATACCCAATTTATTCTATTTTTTTCATTTCTTAACTGTTCTACTCTTCTTGAATTTGTAAATCCGTAATTTCCAACAAATGTCCTTAAATCCACCTTCAACACCTTTTCTTATCACTTTTACTACCCTAACAAACTATTCGCTAGTCTTAACACTACAACTCCGTCAACTTAATATGTATTATTAACGATATCTCCAATATAATATAATACAATATAACCTTCTATGACAAATCTATGAAAGTACACCATTGTATAAATATGATTTATTTTGTTTACTCAATGAATCCATATTTCTTTCTCCTCGGAATTATTTTAATTCCTGGTACGACGTCTGGTTATTGACATAGAACACATGCAAATACGAGTAAGCGACATTTGCATTTATTTATGTACATCAAGTACAAGTAGGTATGTATGTATGTACGTACAGTAAGTGAGTTTATGAATGCATATAAAACGGCGAAATATTCGCGAATGTGGAATTGGAGCTGGTGCCGCACGACGCACATTGTCTCATCGGTATTAATAAAATGATTATTTTCGGTCTACACGGGCTACACATGTTTGCGTTAACAGATACAGAGCGAAATAAAATTATTCCTACATTTGCTGTATTTTTTTTCGCAAAGCAAGTGATGAAAAAAAAACACAATTTTCAAAGTGCGTGATAAGTTATGATTATTAATTATTATTTCGAAACAATTTGCGATAAATATATGTTTCCTTTCAAAGTTTAATCAGCATTAAAATATACATCTATTGTTGCAATTATTTTGTAAATCAGATTATTGTAAACTAAGTTATGAGCAAGTAAAGTTAGAATTTGTAAAAATTTAAAAATGAACTTAACTTCCTCTGTAACTTTTGATTAAAAAAAACTGTCAACAATAAAATATAGACTAAAAAGATGCAAAACATAATACTAAATTAATTTCTGCCAAATTTAATTAAAATTTTTATATATATAAAATTATATATAAAAAATTAAATATTTATCTCGTCATATGCCAAATTTAATAATAAAACAATTTTTAAAGAAATTATGCGAATAACTCAATTAGTTTGCGAGTAATTAATTAATAACTACACAAATTCCACAAAAATCATTCACGAAACACGTAAAAACGCCTCAACTATAGTACCTAATGAATAGCGAAATATTTGTTAATGGATATTACATTAACTTTCCTTTCCACCCATTTAACACCCAATACCTACATAATTCCATCAATCACCAACCAATAGAAAACAAACGTCACTATTTACGAAACTGCACCATCTCTGACAATATTTTCCCAGCCATTTCATATTCACATGACAAAATGTGTTTCCAAGCACTCTACGTCTACTCCGTCTCCTCTAACACCTCAAAATATGCCATTGAATGTTTACACTAACATCTCTAACCAGATATCATTAAATATGACCCTGCAACACCAACGCGACACGAATTTCGCTCGCAAAACGCATTTTCGCAAATTGCCACTCAAACAAAAACAAAACAAACTACACTCGTAATTTATAAACACCGAGCCCTTTCGAAACATTTACAGCAGCATAACATACAATATGAAACACCTCCGCGTGCAAAACGGTGTTTTTATGCTTCTGGTTTAATTACTCAGCCACATTTCTCTAATTATATTACTAACGAGCGCGCGCCCATCGCATACGCACCGTAATTGTTTTAATTTAATACAATTTTTCATCCAATTTAAATTTTTTATTCTCCACACGTTGCATTTGCACCGTATTTTAAATAAAAATTAATTAACCTACGCATGCGCACAGAGCAGATGTGCAAGCTGCGCACGCGTGGGTTCAAAAATCTCCAAGAACTTTCTAGAAAAACACACTCAAAACAAGCGTAGATTTATGTAATACGCGTTTTTCGACGTTTCGCAGCAAGTAAATGAATGAATAACGCGATAAATGCAAATTCATCCAAGCTCAACCTGCTCCTGCTCGGACCACGACCGCTATTATGTCACCTGAGAGTTTATCATGCGACAAACTAGCGAAACAAGGTGAACCACAACCAGCAGAACCGTACTCACTATTCATTAGCTTGTTAATAATTAATTTAAGCGTTTATTATTCAAAACCTGCGGTAATTTAACCTAAAATTAGTTAAATAATTAAATTTATCCAAGGGTTGTGTATTTATAGGTTATGACATTTGACAGAATTGAGAATAACAGTGATTCATCACAATGATGCGCACCAGGGTGTATCTTATGAGTGTTAAGGTCGTCCGCAAGAAAATAACCTCAAAATCGCGGGGCCTCGGCCTCGGCGCACACTACAAACATCGCGCACGACCAGCCAACGTCTGTTTCACTGGCCACGGTCTCTACAGATGGTCACCGCTGGATTATATAACGCGAAGAGACACACAAGCCCCCGAAAGACGTGTTCGAGGTGCGTGGCTGGTGCTGCTGGTTGGCATGCGTGTGTGTGTGTGTGTATTGTGTGGGGTGTATGATGTACCGTGTGCGTAGCGTACGTACCTATGCTTTTGGTTAGATCGGCGACGTCCTGTCCGTTCTCTGCCATTTTGGCACCGCAGCACCGTCGTCGTCGTCGTCACCGTCCTCGTTGCGCACCACGGACGGCAGCACCACCGCAAGCGGGGCCTTCTTTGCACTCACTTGACGAGCACGCAAAACAACACACACTGGATGTGGCGAGCAGCGCCGAGAGTCGGGAACACCGCGCACACACCGCACAGCACAGCACAGTCTCGCCCGCGCCGTTGCGCTGCGCCTTCGACGTGTGGTAGACGTCGTTGGGTTGTTGCGGTCACAAGTGTGTGCGTGCACTAGTGAAGGAGTGAAGCAGAGTGAAGGTTCGATACCGCACGTACACTCATCGACCTCTAGTGGCAATCTTCATGAACTAATATAGTACATGTTTCAACCGCTAGGTACCAGCTAATAAAATATTACAAGTTTTGTTGAAAAATTATGTTTAAACTTAAATATAACAAATTTAAAACATTAAACATTATTAAAATTATTAATTATTAAGTTTTATACCATAATTTACTATTTTTGTTATATTTTTAGTTAAAAATAAAGAAAATTTGACATTCGTGTGAAACAAATGACAATCACATTCAAAATGGCAGCGTAAGTTGCATAAACAATAAATTTTTAATATTTCAGCCTTTTTAACGCAGTTTATGCCATGAATCTTATCAAATAAATATATGAATCCTTACATTTCCCCTTCTATCTATTTACAAACAAGTTATTTACATTTGACTTCGGTAAAATTCGTAAATGTCTAGTTTTATCTCCACTATGTCCACGTGACGAAAAAGTATTCGTGCTTTCGTGCACCTTGGACTTTGATTAAACTGATCTAAACGCTCTAAACTCCACAAACAGGCTAGCAAATTTGCACGACGAAAGTTGTCTCCATATATCGTCGGTGCGCGTGTTATGTAAAGCATCTCGACCATGTTTTCATCGTCGAGTCGCCAAATCGCCACCCAGGTACATAAAAACCATCAAAACTCAACAAATTTTAACATAATTTATATTAATATGTGAATATTTATGTTATACAGCTATCTGCGGCGTCTAAAAGACTGCAGAGTACGCTGATCATTGCCGAGCACAACAATGAAGCTCTCTTGCCAATCACCCAGAATGCTATTACAGCTGCGAAGAAACTAGGTGGAGAAGTCAGTGTGCTAGTTGCTGGAACAAAATGTGGACCTGTAAGTCTCTTTGTATTGATAGTAAATATTGTGTATATTATGTAATGTGTTTTCTTTGTAGGCTGCTGATGCTGTAGCCAAGGCAAATGGATTGGCTAGAGTGCTGGTGGCTGAGTCTGATGCTTTCAAAGGCTTCACAGCTGAGAGCATGACTCCTCTAGTTCTTGAAGCACAGAAGAAGTATAATTTTACGCATATCGTTGCCGGTGCTTCGGCGATGGGCAAAGCATTGCTGCCGCGTGTCGCTGCTAAACTTGATGTTTCGCCGGTTTCTGATGTGATTGGGATTAAGAGTGCTGATACTTTTATTAGGAGTGTTTATGCAGGTAAATGTTAGGAAAATGTTCGAAAAGTTGGAAGTTTTGGGGTGTTTTTGTTGTTTTTTTATACAAAATTTGTTTTAATTTTTATATTAAGTGATATTTTGGTTTGTTATGGTATAAATGCCATAAATTTGGTTGAATTTTACAATTTTTGAAGTTTTAAGACAGTTTTCTAAGTATTTATTGAAATATTTCAGTTTTTCGTTTAATTAGCTCAAAAACAAACGAATATCTACTAAGATTGATGATAGTGTGTATTAAATCACATTTTCTTTCTAAAATCACTAAAATATCACTGAAAAAACATCTAAAAACAACAAAATGGCGGAGTTTTAAAAGAAAACTTACTTTTTTCTAATTTTATCGAATTTTCTTTAAAAATCATCAAAAACAACTAAAACAACCATAGTTAGTCTTCATTTTGGGCAATAATTGAAATAATATCTCATTTACTATTGCCAGATGAAGAAATTATCAAAAACAACTTAATATAACAAAATGGCGACGTTTTTAAACCCAAAACACATGTTTTTCACTGTTTTTACTAAAATTTCTACTAATCGTGTTTTTTTTAAATAAATAGGTAATGCAATTCAAACACTTACCGCCACCGATAAAATCAAAGTCATCACCGTGCGCGGAACCAGCTTTGAAGCCGACAAACTTGAAGGCGGCTCCACCGCCACCGAAAAAATCGATGGCAACTACTCCACCGACCTAACCACCTTCGTCAGCCAAGAATTAAGCAAGTCCGATCGTCCCGAATTAACCAGCGCCAAAGTAGTCATCTCCGGCGGACGTGGAATGAAGTCCGGCGATAACTTCAAACTGTTGTACGATCTTGCTGACAAGATGGGCGCCGCTGTCGGTGCATCTCGTGCTGCCGTCGATGCTGGTTTCGTTGCCAATGACTTGCAGGTTGGTCAGACTGGCAAGATTGTCGCACCGGATCTATATATTGCTGTGGGTATCTCCGGCGCTATTCAACATCTTGCCGGTATGAAGGACAGTAAGACCATTGTCGCAATCAACAAGGATCCCGAAGCTCCGATCTTCCAGGTGTCTGATTTTGGGCTGGTCGCTGATCTGTTCAAAGCCGTTCCGGAACTTACCGGGAAGTTGTAATCATTTTTTACTAACGGTTGCGATTTTTAATTTTAGAGAAGGAATTTACACTTTGTTACATGATATAATATGAATTGTCAAGTATAATAAAGATGGCGTCATTTTTGACTCTGCTGTCAAAAAGTAAACAACTTTTGTGGGTCAGCCATTTTGAGGGAGAACATTCATATGGGTTATACATTACGGATACCGGTCTATGATTTAAATTCATGTTTTTCATTACTTTTTTTACAATAACTCGAAAACTAAATGAGATATTGAATTGATTCTTTCAATACCAGCTACGGCATTAAATTCTACATCTAATTATATAGCAAAGTAGGTTTTTCTTAAGTTTGTGAAAAGATACAGCGCGTTTAATGAAAATTTTGTAGAAATGTCAAAAAATAAGTTTATTTGTTCATAACTAGTTATGTAAAGTAGTTATCAACAAAAAGTTGACTTAGTTAGATGCAGAATTTAATACTGAATCTATATACGCAAGATATAAGCTTCTAACTTGTCGCATTATCGAATAATAGCCAAAAATCTACCAAAATCAAAAATTTTTGTGGAAAAAACTTGTTAGGTCTGGTTAAAGATAAAAACAAGTAAATTAGCATAAATTAAAACTGGAAAATTCCACAATGTGTCAACAATGAGTTAACTCAGACAAATTTTGCACAAAAAAGTATAAATTACAAAAGTAAACGACATAACTTAATAAAAATTCGCCGCGGTGCCAACAGACGATAATTTCACACCCTCTATCGAACGAGATAATCGCGTTACGCAATTAAAAGCGCGTTGGAGGTCATGCACGCGATGTTTAATTATTTGTATCAATAAAGAGCGACCGCGGCTCGGGTCGTCACGTCACATGATTATTCACGCACGTCGAATCCGCCGAATTTCAAGCGGTTCTCATTCACACGCGCATTGGCAATCAACTGGAAGTTTTATTTCGGTTTCGCTTTTCGCCTTCGGAATATATCGTCATTTGATCGAACGGCGTCAAAGTGTACAGTAACACGGAAAAAGTTTCATATTTATTAATCACTTTAGTAAAATGTGTTGTGAATAATCAAAGAAAGTGATTTTTAAACATAAAACTTGTGGAATTAGCTGAATAACCTCAAAAATATTGAAAATGTTTGTTAAAACTCTAATAACTTTGTTGTTTATGATTATTTTTTAATGATTTTGACACTGGTGATAGTCAATTAAATAATCTTGAAGAATCCGGTGGAATTTTATGTTTTGATTGATTAACTTCGACGTAATCTTAAAATAAAGTTGCAACATGTCACAAATTATTTGTGTTAATAAAAGTGAATATCTTAAAAACTACAAGATTAACATTGTTTAAACTTTGGACACATATTAATAACAACATTACCTATCACCTACAGCAAGAATTATTTAAAAATATTAATTATTACGAAAGTTATAAACAAATTAAGTGAAATTTGTGATAAAAAACACAAATTATACAAAAATCAACACAAATTTGATGAAAACCAACATAAAATCAAAGTGTAAAGCATAATAATTGTTATCCAACAGTAATTAACCAGTTTCAAAGTGTTAAACACATAAAACTTGACAAATTGTTTGTGAAACAACGTCGAAAGTGTTGAAAACTTGACCTGACAATTTGTTGACTGTATCCACGTCGCGTGCCAAGTCAATCCAATCAATAGACACATTGAATAATTGGATAGTGCAAAGAGCGGATTTTTCCGTTACAAAACGCAGTTTACAGTAAGAAACCAAGCAGTGCGCAAGCAAAAATAGCGCAATAACGCGTTCGGTGCGTCCGCGACCAAGGACAAGGCCAATTTGGCAATATTTCATCAGACGCAACACAAGGACATCAAACGCAATCAAAATTAAACGATATAAACATATCCTTAAGTTTTATGTAACACCACATCACGAGCAATACGTGTGTAACGCTCTGCGCGTGTGTAAACTTTGCGCGAAAGCGAAATTCGCGCTGACACTTCGCGATTATCGAGCGCGCGCCTAAACACAGCTTATTAATTGTGTAATAAGTGAACATCCAGACGCTTTAGTATAATTCTAAACGATGCGTTGTTGTACCCAGCGTGTAATCGCAGCCTGAGTTAACCGCAGCGATTAGATTTGTTTGCTGGAAAGTGAAAATGCTGACACTGCGAATTGCGCGACGCGCGAACGCGGACGTTTGCTGGTCGGTGAGCGTCGCAATCGAACGCTGTTTACTCCTAAACGCAACCTCAATGCGTACTTCAAAATATTCAACAAAGTCCACGGCATTCACAGCTCCAGTCAGTCACAGTCGACGGTTCTCAGACGCAGCGCGTGCACGCATGGAATCCACATCAATCTCGGATATGAGCATGACGGCCCCGGATTTCCAGCAATTCGCGGAGTTACCTGAGCTCAATGAAGAAGCAATGAAGGAATTGTTCCGTTTTGAAGACTATGACTGCGTTGGTTTCGACCTGGATAATACAATATGCCGATATAAAGTCTGTAATATGGTTAAAATGGAATATGACGCTCTTGCACAATACCTGATCAACGAGTGTCACTACTCAGCGAAGTATCTCAGTCAACCGATTGAAGAAGACGGCGTGCAGTTTATGATCAAAGGATTAATTCTCGATGTCAAAAAGGGTAACCTTCTACGGATTGCACCTGATGGAAAAATCTTGCATGCGTCGCATGGAAGTAAAGAACTCACACAAAATCAAATCATTTCGTATTATGGACCTGAAATGCGATGGGAAGTTACTGATCTGTTTATCCGTGACCCACTACACACCTGGAATGGCCCACTGTCTGAATCCATGCGTACTTTGTCTGATTATTTCGATATGCCTGTGAGTTTGGCTTTTGCTCGAGCTGTGGATACTCTGGATGAAGTCAACAATGGTCCACTCGATAACTATGACATATATCCACATATACAACAAGCTTTACAGAATATGTTTCAGAAAGAACACTTCAGTATGAGTAAAGGTGGCTATTTTCCTAATGTAATATCAAATCCAGATAATTACATCCATAAATGCAGTGATAACCTCATAAATTGGTTCAAGGAGCTGAAAAAGACAAAATTATTGTTTCTAATCACTGGTTCTAATGTTGATTTTGCTTCGCATACAGCTACAAAGTCTCTGGGTGCCAACTGGGCTGAGTTGTTCGATATTGTGATTTGTTTCGCAAAGAAACCTGGGTTTTTCACTCAGAAACGACCGTTTAAAGCACTGGATGGGTTTGTGGAGACACATGAAGTGTCTGATGATGATCTCCAGCGTGGAGGGATTTATACCTCTGGGAATTGGGATGGTGTGTATAAATTCCTGAAGAAAACCAGTGGGAAACCACATCCGAAGGTGGTATACATTGGAGATCATTTAATACAAGATGTTTACACACCGTCTGCGCATACGAATTGTGATACAGTGGCGGTGTGTGAAGAATTAGAGGCTGAAGGTATTTATGGGCATGAAAAGACGCATCACGATGATGATTTCTTGGTGTCGAGGAGATGGGGCTCGTATTTTCATCATAATGAGAAGGAGAATGTGTGGTTGGATTTTCTGAGGAAACATGCGAAGCTGGTGGTGCCTAGCTTGGAGTACGTGGCGAAATTCCCGACTTATCATCGGTTTTCCAGCTTGCAATAATGATTGTGTCTAATCTAATCGCATTTTTTCTGTTTCGATTGATGCTGGAGTATTATAAAATACCAAGTATTTTATCTACGGATATTTTTATAGATGTGAATACGCGTGATCTATAATATATATTTTATTTTATTATATAGATACTTACTGTTCTGTCTGACAGGTTTATGATTTTTTTTTTTGAAGATGTTGATTTTTGTGTCAAGATTTTATTTTTGTTGCATTGTATTTATTTTGAAGAATGTACGATGATTTTAATAGAGAACGTATTGAAGACTTGAAGATGTGGATTAAATTAGTGAGTGTAATTTTAATATTCGTCGATTCTCGTCTATAAATGTTATTTTAAATTCGATATTGATGGAATTTTATTAAATTTATTGTTTATTAAGATTTGATTTTGATGCTACACTAGCGACATCTGAAAAATGTTTTTTTTCTTTTGCATTTTTCAAATATTAGAAGTCTTAGGCTGCTAATAAGATAAGGATGCGTAACATTGTTGCATAGCTTTCTGATCAGTTGACAAACGATGAAGTAATCAAGGTTGCCTATGTGTGCACAATGACATAACCTTATGATGAACATTCGTTTCTCTTAATTTTTGTCTGTGATTATAGTACAGGATCCGGGGCCTATTTTGTCACTTGATTACTATCAAGCTAATTTTCCGTGAGTAGCTTCATTTTGATAAGACGCCCAACAATTTCCTGTGCGAAAATTTTTGATTGTGGTAGTTAACAGAGGTAGCAATGATAAAATATGTCGATTTGATGATTCTCAAATATTAATTACTAACTGGATTGTTTTTTATTAAATCTTAAGATAATTATCTAAATTATTTGAAAAAATATTTGTCCTACAAAATCTATGGTTTCATCAAAGAGTCCTCCCCCTCCAACATGTATTGATAACGAGATCACCAAAAATTATTACTAACCAGCTGATTTTTTTTTTATTACTTAGTTAATATATATATAATGTCACGGTCATATTGTCCTACAAATTCCGTGGTATGTTATCCCGGTCCTACGGTCAAAAGTATACTTATCAAGTACGATATTGTAAGTACCTACATACCTAATACTTTATATTTTACGTAGTTTTTCTTATTTTTTGATTTGATTCAGTAGATGTCGCGTAATCTATTTATAGTTTTCCTTTTTTTCTGTTTACAAATATTTTCATATTTCAATGTCCATCCACATTCCCACATACCTATTTGCTGGTACCTACTTAAAATTTGCACACGGTTTGAGTACGGTGATTATAACTTTTTGGATTTTGTTTGAAGTGATGATAATTGTTTTTCTTTGTTTAATATGCGATTTATCGGCTGATAAGTACCTAATATTTCAATTTGAGTGTTTTTGGGTAATTTTTATTCTGATGGCTAAATATACTTATGTGTTATCGTTTATTTCCGTCAGACGAGTGATTTCAATCTATTATTTCCGTTTAACGAAAATTTTATTTTGGTTGTTATGGTTACAATCAGTTAAATGTGGTTAAAATTTAAAATGTCTGTTAATTTTAGATAAAATAAATAATTATTTCTAATATTTTCCAGAATTGTTTCGCAAGAAAGTAGAAAAAACGAAATAACGATTATAAAAACAAACAAAAGCAAACAAACATTTAAAATTGTCATTTTTTACTGGGATTTAATGTAGGCAACCCAAGTAACAGTTAAAAGAAAAAGAAAATCATGTATTATACTTATAGTAAGTTAGGTTATTAATTCCATATTACTTAATAGTAAGTTAGTTGAGGTTAGGAATAGCTGCTCAAATAGGTTCTAGAAACACATAACAAAATAAACTCTTATTGGTATAAATATATTATAAATAGTATAAATAAATTTATTTTACTGCAATATAGTAGTAAGATCAATTTGTAGTCGACTTATAATCTAACTAAATAAATATGTAAAACAAATAAGATTGTCTCATCTGAGATGAGTCATCTTGGCAAACACAAAAAGATACTGAGGCTTATAATATACAGTTATGTTCAGTTTAAAACCAGAAATTAATAACAATTTGATTGTGTAATTGTATAAATAACCAGAATACAAATTAACTTCTTTTATGCTAATTATTATTGTAATTTACTCAATGAATTAATTAATTTCTTGTGATCTATTATATAAAACAATTTTCATTCGTTTTTTTTCTATCTTGCTTGTCAAAGTTTGTGATAAAAATGTTTACATTGCGTATAATTTAAAATATGGCTTTTATTTTAGTCAATTGATGCAAGATAGGTGAATAAACAAGGTTTTAATTTTCTAATATCAAGATTAATTAGTTTAATGATTAATTAAAATCAAAAAACGTTGATAAGAAATTAAAAGAAGTAATACCTACTATAATTTTGTTATTACGAAATATGTTGTGTTAGAAACCTTTTCATTTTTTACAAAAAATTAAAAAGGCAAATTTCACTGCTTAAAAGTTGACTTTGAAATGTTATTTTACATCTAGTTTGATATTTTATAATTCACTGGAATTTTTACCCGATTAAAATTATTTTATTACAAAAACAGCAAATAAACTCAATTAACCAAAGAAATATTGAACATAGAAACCATTTTAAACCATTAAAACCATTAAAAACACTTTTTGATGTGCGTGTATTCGAGTTATCTTTGAATCTGACTATTGCCCGAAAGCCTCGTCAATCACACGGCTTTCTGAGCAACAATCAAAATAAAAACCAACTCACTAGCTGCACAACCATCACTCATCGATAATCCATATTATCTACAATACAAAACAAAACAAATTACTCACACTCACAATATTTACAACAATATGTAACAATTTTTCAAACCACAGAGCAATAATATAAATTCTAAATAGTTGCATTTAATTAATAAAAAGAAGAGAAAATAATAACACGCGGATGATGTTGATGAAGCGATGAGAGCGTCAGTAAAAAATGCAAAGCTGTGATTGGCCGAGTGAAAAATGGCGGATGCGTCGGGTTAGTCATGTATAATCATCCCCCAAACAAAAAGGACGCCATTAACACGTAAATCAAACGAAAAAATAAAAAATTAAATAAAAATAAAATAAAAAACAATAAATTCGATCTGATAGAAAAACATCCGCTTTAAAAAAGAGTGAAAGTTGAAACAAACAAAAATAAAAATCAATCCACCCTTATCGTCTTTTTAGAAAGTGTCTTGTCTCGTGTGTCAATTTCTACCGCCGCGTATACATTTTTCACCGAGGTTAAAAGTTCGCCGTCAATCTTAATTTACCTCCAGATAGAGATACCGACAACAAAACTCAAAAAGAAAACAACCCCTTTAAAAATTTACAGTTTCAAAAGACTAAAGTAGGTCTACTCACTCAAAATAATAAAAAATTAAAAACATCCTTGATTATCCTTTTAAAAAACGTAATTAAACCAAAATAATCAAATCACTTTCACTTAACACTTCACAAAACACAAAATTTAGAAATTATTATTTAAAACCAAATTAAACTAAAAACAAAACCGAAATTTAATTTTATAAATTTCATCAATCACTCAATATGATTGATGAAACTATTGAGAAATTATCTTCTTACTGTTTAGTTTCAGTATTATCTGAATTTCGATTGTTATGATGCAGTTTAATACTTTTGCTAACTTTAGTAATGGCGTCGTGATTGCACAACTGCACTATAAAACGCTCCGCTCGCCGTTGGCGCTGAGCGGATAATGGCACTCGGGCGTCCACAGCCCTTTCGTCGTCGGATCGCAGCACGAACGCACCCTCAGCCATGAAACTCCGCCCCGTTTCAACACCCACACGTAAAATGGAGACCGTGCGTGGAATTATGCAGAGCGTGTGCGCGTCAGTTCAACGAATCGTCGTCGGAGGCGGCGTGGGGCGGCAATCAACGCGACGAAGGGTTGACGTCACTGGCGGCGGTTGATGATGATAATTTCCACTCGGATGTCGACGCACGACTAGCGGCCATCAATTGGAGCCGGTTAGCGAGGACTCGAATTGTGGTGGGGACGGTGGGGTTAGTAGTTTTTTACACACCCTTCTGATATTGGTATTAATTTAGTTATTTTTAGATGAGAAAAAATGCGTCGTCATTAAATCAAAAATGTGCAATACTGGTTGCATATATAGGTAATAAATCACATGTCATTTATGCATCATCAATTCCAAGGTTAACTTTGGTGTATGTCTGGTTGCATGTAGAAAATAATTTGCATGTTTTTAGTGGAAAAAATAGTTAAAGTAAGTTTTTTTATTTGTGGATGATTTTAGGTAATATTTTGTAATATTTAAAAAGAAGATTGTGTTAATTCACTTATTTTTTAGATTTTTAGAAAAAAATGCTGAGTCATCAAATCACAACTGCAGTAGTAAAATGTGACATACGGGTTGCCTATACATAAATAAAAAGTCACATGTCATTTCTGCATCATCAATTCACACGTTAAATTGTGTATATGTGGGTTGCATATATAAAAATCTTATACGTTGCATGTTTTTCGCATGCTTAAAAACAGAGGTTAGTTATTTTTGTTGTGTGAATGATTTAGTTAATGATTAGTCATGTTTCCGAATGAATCTGTGCCATGTGCGTGAAAGTGTACTCGTATTCTCGGGATGTTTGTTCTCGTCGTGTCATCTTCGAGTAATCGATTTCGTACGACCCCAAAATCACCGTAAGTTTTACCGTTTTTTTATTTTCTATTTTCTGTTTAGTTGGTTGCGTCGCGCCTTCTTTAAAACCTTCACATTGTGCACATATCGCACCCTTATCGAATTTCGTTTCTTGTGTGAGAGAGAGTGTAGGTACGATCCGGCAAATCTTACAATTAAGTTGCACAAAAGTTAAATCTAGGACAGTTCCCCTAATGTATATGAGTAGGTTTGTGTTGTTGTGTGTGTGTGTGTTGAGTAAAAATCTTAGATGTGAAGTTTTGTGTTATGGGGTTGGACGAGTTTGAAAAAAACTGAAAAAATACAAAAAACGTTTAACAATAGAAACGCGCGCATTGTTTGGATAAATCCCGTATGGTTAGGAGTTTATAGAGAGCGAACAGATTGTAATCGGCGAGTGAAATTGAAGTGTTATTTGGGGATGAAAATGCGAGTAATGAAACGATCGCGATAAGATTGGGAGTGATTTTTATTTGCGAAATTGAATTATCAAGTTTCAATTAATGATTAGTTTTAGCAATAGGAATAAAAGTGGCTATTTTTGGATAATTATAGAGTAAAATTAGCCGAATTAAAGAAATAAATGAATATTTTTGCTCTGGAAAATTAAATTATCGCAAAAAAATTCTTTTTTATATTAATTTCGAATTATTAACTGTTTTTAAGTGTAAAATAGGAGTTATAATAATTAATTTCAGTTTTAATTACGTTTTAAATATTTATTAATAGTTTTTTCTGATAGTTTTCACAAAAATTTGATTTTTTACTTTAAAAGCGGCAAAATTAAAATACTAACTGTCAAATGTCGAACGACATAACCTTATCTAGATTTTGAGCTTTTTGTAAATCAATTTTATCTTTGTTAAATTCTTTTTCTAAAAATAGTTCAATTATTATCCAGTTTATCAGGATTTAATCAGTAAATTTGAAATGTAAATTATTTATAAAAATTTATTGCTATATAACCTTTCTTAAAACAAAATATGCAACCAAACATACATCATTGGTATATCCTAGTCTATATCTTGTTGATTTATGTCAAAATTTTCCTAATTTTAGCATATTTTATAATTTAGTAATTAATAATGCCAAGAAGTAGGTTAATTGTAACGCTCCGATGGGTTTTAAGCTGGTTACCACTGCGGAATAGTGACAGTTAGTTTTTTTTAGCGAGTACGAGTTTCGTAGTTTTGCTCACAATTGAAACGTTGCACGTTGAACTCTGAAAAGTTCAAACTTTGTTAGGACTACGAGTAGGAACTAGACGAACTATAGACGCAGCAATTCATGAAATTTGACAGGTGTGAGCGGATTAACGATTGCGTCCCGCGTGCGCCCGCGTGCCGTACCCGAACCTACCCGGAAGCAGCCTTTGCTATTCTAAACCTAGTATACCACCGATTTATACCACTTCTATACTGGTACTTGTTTTAATATTAAAACTATTACATAACTTTTTATTAAGAAATAAAATATAGTTTAGGTTATATTTTGAGTGTATAATGAAAATTTGGTTGCATACATTAAATTTTTGAGATTTTAAGGTTAGTTTTTAACAAAATAGAACTTAAAATGATACATAGACGCAACTTTTTACGTGTCGTTTGCACCCTGTCCTCGTGTTGGGTTGCCGTCCCTTCAGAGAGTGTGTGACAGCGTAACCCATTGCGACATTGCGACATTGCGAACGGATCCGCTTGATTGTGATCTTTGTTCGCGTGCGTTCACAGCTTACCCCGAGCGTAGACAATCGGAGCGTTTTTATATTTCTACACATACACATACAACAACACTTTTACTACTTCCACACATAAGCTTCAGACAGCTTTACTTTGGTTTTGTGTGGTTTACTATTTGGAAAATGTGGTTTTTTATTTCCAATAGGAAAAATTACACTTTTTAAGAGAAGAAAATTTAGTTTTTGTTAGTTATTCTTAAATGCAATAAGATAAAATAATAATATTTATATAGATATGTTAAGTATTAATTTACACATTCAAAAATATAAATTTTGTTGAGTTATCTTGTTTTAATAATTAGTTACAGAGTATTTAATTCATAACAAAATTTAAATAATAATTTATCACATATTCATCCAATTTATTGCATTAATAATAATTTAGTTTATCTAATTAACACATATGTAGATGTAGAATTAAAAATAACATTGATACCAACAAGATTTATATTTTTAGCTTGATTTATTTATGAGTAAATAACAAAAACGAAAGTAAATCCAATATTTTATGAAGTATTTAACACCACTTTTTGTTAGAATAAACTTTTTTATGTCATAACTTATGACTTAAACTTCTTTTTTACATTGTTTTGATAAAGCTGTGCCTACAATTTATTTAAGAATTCATTTTCATAAGATTGGTGCGATTAAGTCGATTCATTAATAAATTATTAATTAAAAACTGAATGAAAACAAGTTTAAACCTAACAACAGTCCAAAACTAGTTAATTTATATTAATTTTCAACATATAACTTTAAAAATATACAAGATATAAAAATAATTCTTTCATTAATTTGTTTTTATTAAATTTTAAATAATTTTTGGTAAAATTTCTGTTTATATGCTAATATTTTAATAAAATATAACACAAATAATAACAGAATGTAATGTTGGTGGCATAAATCATATAGAAACAATAAATATATTCTAATTCAATTATAAACTAAAAGTTCAAGCAGAAAAAAAACATCTAAACTTAAAAAATCGTTGATGATGATTTCATACTTAGTGGTACCTAAATACTCATACTGGTACCACTGGTTTGCTTTCCGCCCTCCTCGTCGTCGGAACTTGTCGGTATGCGCGCATCGTCGCACCTGGTTACGCTGCTACCCTTGCAACCCCTCTCGCTAAAAACTCAACTCGCAACTCTCAACTGATTCCCGCTGCCCGAAGCAAAGGTGTGCTCGCGAATCGAGGAAAAAAAGGAACCGGATCGAATGGATCTCAATCCGGCGCGGCGCGTTTTTTGGGGATGGGTCTATTGTGCACCTCGCCGCGCAAAGGGGGTAGATGCGGTGTGCGAGTGCCATGCGAGGCATAATGGAATCTGAGACTTTGCGCGCCTCACCCTCGGATGCACCCTTTTCGGATGCTGCGAGCAGCTTGGCTGCCAACATTTGCCAACGGCGGCGGGCATCTCTCAAGGGATGTGTGCACACGCGGGATGCTGTTCTAACGGCTCGTTGAATGCTCTCGGTGCGGGGAATTTGGAACAAAAGTTGGGGAATTTTTTAGGAACATACAAATGATAATATTTAGTATAAAAATATTGAAATTATCAAGATGAATGAATTAACGTTTTAATTTTTTTTCCTTTTTTTTGTTTTGGAGTTATAATTCAAAAACGGATGAACATTTGCAATTCAATTTTTGGTTGTTTAAGCTACATTAAATTATCTATTTAATTATGTTTTAATCAAGTTTCTATGATTTTTATTACTTGAGATACAGACAATTTAAAAAGTGCAATTAATTTTAACCATATTGCATCTTATAATACTTGTTAATATCTACATGTATAAACAAAAATGGCTTTTCTATCAAATTTAGTTTAAAAATTAGAGACAATTTAAGTTTGGAAGATTTTTGCATCTTAAAAGTTTAAAGAATTACACAAAAATGTTTTATTTAACTCTCAATAACTAGAAAACTAAAAATTTTAAGAAAATTTTGTTTAATTCATCTTATTCTTCTTTAAATTCTCTTTTACATGATGTTTTTATTCATTTGGTATAATAATAATTAGCTGAGTTATCACGCTTCAAAAACTTGCAAATTTTGACACAAAAAAACGGAAAATTCACGCATTTTTTTTTTCTTTTACCAAAAAACACCAAATAATACAATTTTATTACTTTTTTCAAATCATATCTTATTCTCCATGATATTATCTATCATTTTTAATTTAAATCACATTTCTATCCAAAATAGTTTCGAAGATATTTGATAATTAATAGCACAATACGTTTCACTGGTGTTACTATGTGAAATATTTGGAAAAACCTGAAAAAATCCCAAAGCTATTCTAATTTAATACACATTTCAACATATTTCAATTAAATATAAATTTGCCATCTAGTCATGTTTTAATTAACATTCTGCGATGTTAATTAGCTGAGTTATAACGCAGCAAACGCCAACATCTCAACAACTTAGCACTTAGAATCAATTATATCTAATTATATCATGTTTGCTTTAATTAACACATAAAAGTAATATTATGTATATTTTGTTATCGTCATTGAGATCTACTCCCACCACAACAACTAAAAACAATTTTTTATCTTTAATTTCCTTTCATTTTTAAAGAAATGAACAATTTTAACTTTTTTTCGATAAAAAAATATTAAATTTCATTTTTTTTCACGAATAAAAAACCCAAAGCATTTAATTAATTATTATTAATCACTTTTTATCTTTTTAATAATAGCATAATAAACTTTCGGGAATTTTAATTACATGCGCCAAAAATATATAAAACATCCATAAATTAATATTTTAACTTTTATTTTATTTTTATTGATATTTATACTCAATAAAAACGAAATTAATTACCTACGTACCTGTTATTTTATCAAAGTAAATACTCACAATTCATTAACTACGTCTCACGCTTTGTTTTACATGTTATTTTCCAACGTGCACGCATTCTGCAAGCTGCAACATTGCAATTTGCATTTGCATTCAGTTTATTCAACAAAACTGTGTCGTGAATGTCGTGGTCGTGATCAACATTCTGCTTCAGTCCACTTCTACCACTTCAAGAGCACACTGTGCGTCACTATAGTGTTTTATATACGAAAAAGATGGCCACCAATGGTGTCAAACAAAATGACATCCGTGCGGGTAAATATAACCTAAAAATAATCCGTATTAATTTATTAATTAATTAAAATGAAAGCATTTGAACTTTTTAAACGCAAATCCACGCTGAATATTCATTAATTTGCGATGCAGTTGTGATGCACTTGTGATGTTTCCATTTCCACACATTCAGTCACATGTACATTGGGTTGCATATATACCAACCGCCGAGTGTGAGAGTGACTGCGCGTAATTTACGATAATGCAGCAAATCGAGTAAATCGCAAATGGAAAACGATATAATATGCCAGCCGGGTCGACGTCTGTCCACCGCTCTCTCGCTCTCTGCTAATTGAAATTGATGCATTTATAAACCTAACCTCACACAGTGCATTCGGCTGCAGTCGGCGAATGTAGCAGTGTCAAGATGTCAGTCGGCTGTCAGTGGACGTGACGAGCGCGCTGATAGAGATCGCAAACTGCATCAATGACGCGATGGTGGGGGTGTGCGCGCGCGGTGAAACTTTCATTAGCGCCCGGTGAATATGCATGAACCGGGCGCGCGGATTTATTTATGAAGGAGGAGGCGGGCGGGTTAAAAGCAAAACGTGTCGGCTGTCAAACGGCGCGTCGACGGCGGTTAATTGATGCACTACAGCGGTGTGTGTGCGCGCGCACACAGGCCAGTCACGACCCACACTCTCCCCATACTCTGCTGTCTCACCCTTCGCGAACGCATTCATAGCAATGCACACAAAACACAAAAACTGTTGAGAGTTGAAATCACTGTTATTATATTCTGGCGTTTAAGGCAGGCAACCAAACGTGCTTATTATTAGCACTGGAATTATAGACACGTGTGACCGTGAAAATAATCAACAGAAATGCCGACGAATTATTTTACGAAGGGTCAAAGGTTTAAAACATTTTATTTTTTGAATAAGATATTAACTTGACTCAGTTTTTGTTGAAGAATGTTAACATAATAAATAAATAAATTAACATAAACGTCTGTATTGATTATTATTCATTTGCATTTATGTGTTATCATCTTTTGCGAACAGGTGTGCGTTGCACAATAAACACCAAATGCCAAATATTGCTTTTTGTTCTTATCACTTTTAACTCAGCCTACGCTGAGTCGATAAACAGAATAATAATAGTTTCAACGTGGTTTTTACGAAGTGCAGTCAATATTACATGATTTTTGTAGTGTTTTTTAACTTTAAAATAAATATTTAAGGTTAGATTAGTGCGTGAATTAAGTTAAAATTAAAGACAAACTGGGTGATACAATGGATTATTATCTGAAGACAATGAAACAACGACGGCGGTCGAAATGTAGCGCGTTTGATGCAGGTAAAGATGAATTTTATGCGTTGGAAAATAACTGCGTTGTTTTTATAGTGGTTGTGGAGCGTAAAGCGTGATGTGGGTTGCCTATAGTGATACACACACAACTGCTGCATCTGTCAAACATATAATCACAGAGTTATTTTGGTTTATGTTTAATTTTGAGGTTATATTAGTATAATACGTTGTAGAGATTAATAAAATAGTATAAAATGAATGTTTTATACAATAAAACAAAGCATAAGTAAGTAAAAATGTGTAAAAATTAGTGTTTACTTACTTGACATGACAATTTTAAGGTTATTTGAATGACATTCGTAAATTTTTTACAAAACTTACTTGAATTTAACACTTCTACAGCAAAATAAGCATCTTTAACTAGTATAAATGCTTCACAAAGTGTTTTGATGTAACAATTTAATGCAACTTGCCAATAAATTCAAGAAACTTCTAGAAAAGTAAATGTTACATTCAATTTCTATGTTTAGTCATTGTGCAATGCAGGTTGTGTATGTGTGCAACTGGTTGCCTATAGTAAAACTCTTACCAAACAAAAAAACGCAAATAATAAATAAAACAACAATAATATAAATAAACTAAACACAAAACACAAAAAAATACAATAGAAAGTTTTTTCCAACGTTGGAACTAACCCAAATCTAATAAACAACTCCAACACGACTTTATGCAATAATTTTCCATTATCATCTTCTTATAATCACTCTCTGTACATATTTAACATCTTTAACATGTTTAAATGTCGTCTGCGTAATAATAGTACATAGTTATTCCTCAACATAACCGTTTAATTACTGTCAATGAACGCATCAACCTTGAAAACCACCTTTAACAAAAAAATCACATACTCAGCATACACAGAGACGTATTACACATTCAAAACACCTAAACTACATCAACCAACACCTTAAAAATTACAGTACAAATCGCATGTAATCCAACCTTGGTGCAATTGATGTTTAAATAATTGTGTAAACGACTGTTTTGAAGGTGTTTGCATTATGGCTGCAATCACGTGCGTGATGCGCATGCGCCCCGCGCACGTTCGCACATGTTCCCCAAGCGTAATCAGCGTGCACGCTGCACTTAAACCCACGCCTGTCGATAATAACTCGCAATCTTGCCGAATAAAATAATACATTTATTATTCCAAGTGGAGTACAGACGACAAAGTAGGTACTTGGTAACTGTGTGTTACTGTGCGTCGCGTACGCTCATAAAAATAGCCGTAGTAGGAATATTTGCCTCAACGCGACGGGGATTGAATCCGATTCTAATCTCATAATCTCGCATCGCACAACACACGCGAAAACACTCGTGTGCACAATACGTGTAGTGATTCCAAAAGTGAAAACTCAAATAGTGAAATATTATTCATTCGCTGATTCGAATTAAACTCTTCGCCAGCGCCCCCAGTGTTCATTTCCCACATTAATAAAAACCGTATTTTTATATTTTGAATAGAATACGTGATGATACCAACAAATGATCCATCCACGTTGGATACAGTGGCTGTGAAAGATACTTCTATACCAGGAGGTGTTGAGAAAGACCCACCGAAGAGATGGAGGAATTTGGTGGCTTTTTGGATTCTTGGCTTGTGTAATAATTATGGTTATGTGGTGATGCTCAGCGCTGCGCATGATATTCTGAAAGAAGAAGAAGGCGGTGATGTTAGTTTAATACATATTTTAAAAAAATGTTTTCTAAAAAGTGTTTTGTGGTTATATAGTGATTGGTGTGTGTTGGGTTGCAGGATAATACTGATTCGTTGTCGCGGATGTTAAGAGGGAATGGCACGTCTGCTTCGGATAGGAATTGTAATGAGTTTTCGACGGGTGCTATTCTCTTGGCTGATATTATTCCCAGTTTGATTATTAAGTTCACGGCGCCGTTTCTTCCATTTTATGTGCAGTAAGTGAATAATTTTATTATGTAAATAGTAAATATTAGTGAATTTATGATGTTTTTTGTGAGAGTAGTATGAAAGTTAGGTTAAAGTAAGAAAAATATTTAAAAGTTCGTTACAGCGTCTATAACTCAAGAACTGTTGGATAGATTTTGATGATTTATGATTTGTTGGATTTGTTGTGGTTTAGAATAGTAGAATAATTATTAAAATATTGAAAATTTTGCCTTAAATGGTGTTAAATAAGGGATGAAAGTTGGTATGGGGATTCAATCATAGTTATAGCTATATAATACAATCCTAGATGGCGCTATAGTGAATTATTAGCATTTTTCATTTGATTTAATTAAAATTGCTACTTTTATTGATGGAATTGACATAGACAAGGTCTTAAACAAATATTAAAGTAAATATTTATTAAATTTATACTTAAATTTCATATTTAGAGTGGAAAATAATGAATTTAACATTAAAAGTTAAATATTTACACGCCCAGACAGAATTTTCCGAAAAATGAATCACCGTCTAATGTTTACATGAAATTACTTGTTTTTAACGCTATTTTATTCTGTAGCAAACAGTATTTTCAAATGTATGTTTAGATAACAAGTATTTTTTTTTTCTCCTGGCGTTTTCTTCTAAAAACTTTGAAATTTTGTGATTTAGAATGATATAGATTCGCAAATTCAGTTCCGGTGACTTGCCTTGTTGGCCGGATGTTTCGCTACAATCGCAATCACGTCAATTATTAACGCGCGCGCCGTAGTCAAGGACCCATTTCAAAACGGTCGGCTTTTCGGTGCTAGAATCGCCGGAATTTTAATTCGCTCGCTTCAACCCGCCAATCGAAAATAGCAAAGCAACGCGAAGAGAAGAGAAAAAAAACCGCGCACATCATTAAAAAGTCATCAGGTGCGCCGAAAATACAAAACAACAAATATTCGCGACTCTATCGCGAATATCGCGAATCTAGCGAGATATAACGACCTGATTTCATGATTAATGTACGAGTAATGTTTTAAGATAGAGATAAATAGTTGAGTAGCAGAGAGGAGATATTATTGTATGGAAATAAGCGGGATTTAAATGTATATGATTAAAGTTTGTGTTTGTATATCAACTGACTGGCTGGCTGTCAATCGTCGCCCACTTTCTTATTGCATGATTGATGAGTGTATAAATTATAAGAGTTTTTTGTGTTTTACGTCAGAGGATTTACATTAATAACAAGTTGGATTTTGTTGAGATTTAGTATAACGGGAATTAAATAATATTTTTGCGTAAATATTAAATACTAGCGTTAACCCGCGGGTTCCCTCGCGAATATCTAAAATAATGAAGTTGCTTCCGTACGCGTCTGTAGTCACAGAAGAAGTAACAATAAAGTAGAATGGCGGGAAGTTTAAAATGGCTGAAAGTATAGTCTATGGAAGTATAGTGTACAGTCTCCATAGTGTAGTCAATTGGATTTGATGTTGACGTAGCTGTCGGTAATACAGTGTGATAATACAGTGTGATGGTACTATAGTACTTAGGTTTGAGCTTCATTGCTGGAATGCTAGATGGCGTTAAAGTAGTCAAATAGCCAGATGCAGAGGTATTATTGGCTAAACAATTTCTTTATTTTATTAAAAAAATAATTTTTTTATTAAATAAAAAGTAGCCTATAACCATTCGGGGACCACTAAGAATATGTGTACAAATTTTCATGATAATCGGTTATGTAGTTTTTGCGTGAAAGTGTAACAAACATCAGGACTATCGCATTTATAATATTAGTAGGGATTAGTTTAGCACGCAATGATTTTAATTTAAAAAAGGCATAATTAATTAACTTCTTGCTTAATGGACATATTATTTGACGAAATGGTGAATAAAACTTTCAATTTTAATTTAGACAATTGAGAAATGATATTGATGCGCTTCAGCGTCGGCAGATGCGTACAAATATTCAATTTTAAATTAAATTTGGAACATCGATATATTGCTCCAATATAGAGTTGCACAACTATTTTTAGAACGTTTAATAGTTTTGGAATAAAATGCATAAGCCTGCTTGAAATAAAACTGGAATAACTGCGGAAATATTAAATGCGCAGCATTGGAAAATGTTTTTAAAAAAACATTTTTTCTTCTTCAATCTCTTCCATCTTTTTGATTTTAATATTTTAAAAATGTTTTGACAAAAAAAGCAAAAACAAACTGTTTTCCAAGTGTTACAAGTGCTTTTTTAAAGAAATAGTCACTCTATCAACGCAAACACTAATATATCTCTTGTTTACTTCTATTATATAATCAGTAAAACCGCTTAATTGTTATAACACAGTTAAATCTATTTAGGTAATTCAGTATACATCATTAATTGCTGTTTCACCTGTCACTCAAAGATAATAATTTCTATGACGTAGGTACCTACATAACACGAGTTTTTATTCGTGTTGTTATGATTTTATTGAAATATAAAATTACCTCGTGATGCCAAACAAAACGATTTAATTGAAATATAAAATACAACGCGAATATGAACACACAATACCTAGTAAAGTCTAGACAAAAATACAGTTACGTAAGTTAATGTCGGTAAAACGTGTAAATCACTGTGCAAACTATGCTTATCACTAAAATTCATCCATAAAACGTCCATTATTACTGTTTTATTATTACTGTTATATTTATTACTGTTTTTTTATGTGAAATATGGAATGTTGAAAACAATGCTGTAATTAATTGCTTCATTAATTATATTAAACAACTACTTAATCAATAAAACATTAAGTAATTTGCTATCGCAACAAGAAAAAATATGCAAAATGTCATTGATTACTGTTTTGAGACTGTTAAATCAAGCATAACCCTATTTTTAAGCTAACTTAACGCAGTAAAACATAATTTATGCGTTTTTCAACATAATTTTGTAATAAAATGGATATTCAACATCATTTTCTTTAGATTAACCTCAAAAACTAGTCGAAAACCTTTGAAAAAACGTATCACGTGACTTTTTTAATTAATAACTGTTGAGTTTTGCGCTCTTTCACAAGTGGCGTTGGGCCCCGGGGGGGTTCACCCCAAGTGACTTAGGGGCTTTCTAGCCACCTTGTGTGTTATTCAGTAGTTAGTTAAGTTCGTTACGTTGTCAAGGGTAGTTCTGTTCTATGCAATATCAAGCAACACTGGATTGTTATTGGCGTTAAATAATAAACTCTATTCTTATTAAAATTCACTCTGCGCAACAATAACTACGATATTTATCATTATCTGTAAACAAAATTAAATAACCAGTCAAAAAAACACTAAATTTCATGCGTTTTTCATAAAACATTAACCAATTTAACTTTTTTTCCAGTGTACGACTGGTTCTATGCGTTCTCTTATCAGCTGGCGGTTTCCTGATAGTAGCCTTCAGCACAAGCCAATGGATGTCAATCCTCGGCGTCATCTCCACATCATTATGCTCCGGCCTCGGCGAAGTAACACTCCTACAATACTCCTCATTCTATGACAAGTACATAACCTCAATTAAACTATTATACTACCACAACACTTACTAAATTACTCCACGTGTTACAGGAATGTCGTGTCGACATGGTCCTCGGGAACAGGCGGCGCTGGCGTGTTCGGTGCGCTCTCCTACGCCTTGCTGAAAAATTTAGGCCCCCGCAATGCCCTGCTGATCATGCTAATTGTGCCGGCCGTAATGGCCGTGGCGTAAGTGTTAAATTTTCATCCGGCATCCGCATTACGAATGCATGCGACAAGTGCACACCCGAATCCCATCTCCTCGTTTCCGCCGCCTGTGAGGAACGCAAACAAACACGCCGATGATTCTTTCAGATTCTGGTTAATATTGATGCGCCCCGACGAGCAGCCAGCCGTGTTGCAGCAGCGAGAAGTTGAACAACGAGATGCAGAACAACCGCTGCAAGCGCTCCGGACGAAAATCGGAAAAGTTCCAGGGTTGATGAAGTACATGATTCCACTCGGATTGGTTTATTTGTTTGAATACTTCATTAATCAGGGTCTTGTAAGTTTAAAACTACTTAAAACCACATAAAATTCAACATATAACTCTAGCGGTAATATTTTAAACTAAATTTTGTGTATATTTGGTTGCATACCTTATTTTAGTATGAATTGCTACAATATGCTGACACGTTCCTTGACTACAGTGAGCAGTATGTGTGGCTGCAAGTCGATTATCAAATCGGAGTGTTCCTCTCGCGTTCGTCGGTGAATCTCTTCCACGTGAAACACATCTGGTTGATGTCTGTGTTCCAACTTGCCAATGTGTTCATCTTCAGCGCCGACGCGATATTTTACATCTTCCCGAGTTTCTATATTGTGCTGGCATTGGTGCTGTGGGAAGGTGTGCTTGGCGGTGCTGCGTATGTGAATACTTTTTATAAAATATCATCGGAAGTACCCGAAGAAGAGAAACAATTCTCGATGGGTGTGACGAGTTTTGCCGATTCCATCGGAATCACGCTCGCTGGTGTCTTCGCCATGTTGGCGCACGACGCCATCTGTAAAACAGACAGGCCCGAGCGATATTAGAAGGTAATTGAGGTTAGAAGTGCTCACGTATTTTGTACAAACTGTGTTTTTGGCTATTCGTACTTGTTTTACTTTAGAGTTTAGAAATATTTTTAGACATTTACATTTTTACGGTGAAATATTTAATAAACATGTTTTTAAATATTTATTCCATGCATGAATGCATAATGAAAGACAGTTTTACACATTGAAAGATTTTATTATGAAATCCTTAATAAAATAGGCCAAAAATCTTTGCGAAATGAAACTCGTCAAAGAAATTCGTATCTTTGGCACATGATACAGTCGAGAACGTTCGAAATCAACGTTTGCAAGAGGAACTCAGGTTACAATCAAATTGCAGGTTAAACATAACCCAAAACTTTCACATTTAGCATAAGTTTGCGTCAAAATTGCTTGGTTTTAACATCGATTCTGTACGATGGCTTTGCCTGTCTCGTCGTATTCCTGGCGTGAGATCCAGAACGACTGGAAGTTACCCAGCGAAGCCAAGATGGCGCCGCCAAGCCACGGCGAGAAGCGTCTATCGATGCTGCCATTTTGTGAGATCACCTTCAAGCGCATACTCTAGAACAGCATATGACACATACACATACACATTCATTTGATAAGTGGATTCTGCGCAGTGCAAAGCTTGGAGGTCTAACTGAAAAGAAAACAACGCAAGAGGAGACATAAATAATATATAGAAATGTGATTAGGTTAGAAATTGTGTTACTGAAAGAAAAACGTAATTTCTGGTGTATCAGGCAGCCATTTTGAGGGTTTCTACTCACGGGCGGAACTTTAGATTGCAAGTCACGTGTTAGGCGGTCGGTGAAACCCTGGATGTTCGAGTTTCCACCTGTGACGACTACATTTGCATACATCAACTGCAAAAAAGGTAAAAATATTAATAACAAAACTATATCTAAGTATTTTGCCTGTATATAAAGGCAACTTGCATTAATAAAGTGTAAAATCATAAAATTTTGGAGGTTAAAGTAACAAAACAGTTGTATTTTACAATTTTTGATAAATATTGATAAAATATTGACCATATACTGAACTAGAAGGCACAATTAGACATGGCGGCCATTTTGAAACTCAAAACAACTCACACAAGGTATTTTTTGTTGTAACTTTATCATTTATCAACCAATTTTAACGAAATTTGGTAAATAAACAAAGAATATCATTCTTTAAGCTGTAGACTCCTTAAAAGTTTCAAATTTAACCTCAAAAACTTTTAAAAAAGTCAAAATTTCAAAAAATAAGTATTAATTTAATACTTACTGGACGTGTATCAACATCACACATCCCAACACTCGTCGTAACCAACGAGCTAACATCCAACGACGGCTGAATGCCCGCAGAAGGCCTCGACGCAAGATTAAACAGCGGTTCAACCACTTTAAACCGCTCCACACCGAAATCCCGATGAAACCCATTCGGGAACTCATAATGCACGGCCGGAATACTCTTCACCACTTCTTCATCATACGGCGCATCTGCTACCTGCAGCACCGTAGACTGAAAATCCTGCAGGAGCTCTTTCACCATATAATTATGCCATGAAGCTGTTGCTTTATAATATCTCTCTTTCCACACAGCAGGCTCATCAGGTTTTACGATTTCCTTTGATGAGACGCGATAATACGGTACAAGATCAACGTGTTTATCGCTCAGCATCTTTCGGGATTGTTCTAGAGTGAAATCTGAACCAGCAGGAGATTTTACAATTGCTTGAGCCATGAGGATGCCGTCATGAAGTGGGACGGCTGTTGTGTGAGTTAAACCTGCGTCGACGACGAGACATGTTGGTCGGTTGTTGGCTACGCCGACTAGAAGAGGGGTTTTTGCGAGGTATACAGCTGGGACGTTGTATTTCTCGAAGAAGAGTTCGACCATTTGCTCACGTTTCGTTTGGATGATCCACTAGAGGCAAAAAGGGAAGATTTGGTGTAAGTAGCTATTAGTATTCGGTTTAAAGTTAATTTAACATTAAGAAAGTAAGGAAAATGTGTGTAAAATTGATATGTGATCTTTAAATTGCCGCCATTTTTTTAATTTCAATTAGTTTTTGATGATTTTTTGGCAGATGGTTGCCAAAGATCCATATTTTAAGATCACACTCAAAAACAGAATAATTTTTGATAATTAATAATTATTAACAATGATTTAGTAATGGTTTTATAAAATTTTTGTTCAATTTTCGTAATTTACTTTCAAAAAATGAGTTTTTCTTTAATTTTTGCCAAATTTTTGCTTTCAAAACAATAAATAATCAGTCAAATATTACAAACAAAACTCTACTAATAACAAAAATAAAATATCACAACAAAATAATAATTAAAGCCACTTTTTCCATTTTTTAACAAACTATTCAATTTGAACTCACAGCTGGCTCAGAAAGAATAATTGGATGATTCTCTGGATTAGTATGAAGACGTGAATTGAAGATGTAGTTCATCATTAGCTCAAAAATCTCCCAGTTATCAACCATTCCATCTTTCAAGCAAGTTGAAATTTCAGCACCTAAAAAACATTTAAAATATTAGTTTTACATAACATATATGAATGAAATTAATATACCAGCATGAGGAGCATGTAAACCAAGTGTTCCAAAGTTATATTTTGTTGTATTTTCATCTTGGTAGTAGGCATATTGTGTTGGAATGTCATGCCTGGGAAATTCTTCACCTGCATAGCCTACTCGAATGGTATTGCTGCCAATGTCCATGACAATTGCTCCAATGTCATCTAAACAACAATTTTTGTTTATTAAAACAATGCAACACTATTTGTGAATAGATGTTAATAACTGTTATTGTTTTTACTTGTTTAATTTTGCTTTAAATTTAATTTTTCTTAATGATTTTTGATGTTTTAGGTTACAATTAGTTATTACCTCCGCTGTAGACCGCTCCGCTCATTTTTGACGCTATGGAATTGTTGGCACGACTAAATTTTAACACAGTAGCATATTTTATGCATTAACAGCGGTTTTATTCGCGTATTTTACGAGTTTATGACGATTGAAAACCATGTAAACATCGCAGTTTTGTTTACTGCGCTTTTTTATTATGTGAGATGCTTTGTTAGTTGCCTATATGATCAGAATTTTTTAAATTTTGTGTATATATGGTTGCATACCATTCAACATTACATATTTTGATAGTTTAAAAATAAAAACGGATTAATATTTGTATTATTAAAATAAATTTGTTAATTTCACTTTAATTTATAATGTAGGTCAATGATAAGATGAATGTTTTGATTAGCCACTGTTTAAATAACTGTAAATTTGCCAAAATTCAAGCTGCTGTTCTGATTGGTCGAAACGACATCTACCAGCGGTCGCCAAACTGTCTTTAATTTCGCGAGTTTTACCGACTTTCGCGTGGGCGCACCGCGCGCTTTCCACAAATTTTCGGCAAATTTGTCATCGCAAAATCCCTAGTATAGCAAAGATTGCGAGTTTTGTCACGGTACGCATGTGATCATTGTTTGTGGTCGCATTTTGGTCGCGCTGGCAAAAAAACGCAGACGTCAACAGTCTGTCAAAGGCACGGCGGCGACCGCGGCTACCACAGAACAACGAGAACGAACCAAAATCAGAAACGAAAGAGACCACAAAGCACGAAAGCACGACAAGCTGGTGGCGACTAACGCATCATCAAACCGCGACCGTTCGGCACCCAGTGCTCGTCTACAGACGCGATTCGTGCGAAAACAAATCGAATACAGATCAGGGAGGCAGGCCGTAGCCGCTCAGTGCGTGCCCGTGTGTGTGCGCAGGTGTAAGCGGCCATTCCGTGACTGCGTCGAAATCGTTTCAACTGCTGCAACGACATCAACTCCACGCATCCAAGAACCACGAGGCCTGCAAGGGAGAACAACAGTGTCATCCGGCGTACAGGTACAAATCCACACACACGCCTACAAATCTCCATCGACATCGATTGCAATCCGACCAAAATTCGATCGCATACACTTTGCTTGCGGGTTATGTGTGTGTGTGCGTGCGAATGTTGAATGTGTGCGCGTGTATTCTGCATTATCCAACATGGCCGCACGGCGCAGCGTACCCGCCGTTCATGCAGCCAAAAACCAACGATAAAGCATTCACCACATCCGAATAACGCGATAATTTGTGCATGGAATCATCCACGAGATTCGTTGCTTCTCTGTGAGTACTCACGTGTCTGTTGCAATTTTCAGGCCGACGTCTGCATCGGCTGAGAAGGTGCATGCTGGTGCAGCTTCCATGACTAAGCAGTTCGCGGCGAAGAGCACGCGCTGAACGTGAAAGTGACAACAGCGAATTTATTTCACTGGTAAATATTAACCACCTTCGTTTGCATGCGTTATCTATACGCCCGTTTTACGCCTTTGTTCGTGTGTGGAGTTTTTCTTTCGAGTTGAGTTTGTGAGTAAACAAGCAAACAATTTGCTTGTGCAGTAAATTGACGAACATGTGAACATTTACAATACAAAAAGTGGTGCAAATCCCAAGGGATGTGAAAAATTATACTCACAACTCAATATTTTCCTATAATACGTTAATGTATTTTCTTGGCAGTATTTTTTTACTTAAAGACAAGTTTTTGTGTAGTTATTTATTGATTTTCCATGTATGTTATGATTTTTCTTTGTTAAAGTCTCTTCAAACAATTGATTGCATAATATTTCATCAGTTTAGGCATTGTTTCATTATTTTAGTTTAGTATTATTGCAGAGTTTTAAAAATTAGGAGTAAATTTCTTGGTTTATTGCAAAGCAGTCCAGAAATTGCTAATTTGTGGGCGTTTTCTTGGTTGAAATCCAAAAGTTTAGGCATTTTATGTTTAGTGGACGTTTTCGGCTGTTTTTAGTAAGAAATTTAAGTAAAAATGTTTTAGGAAAACATAAGTTGGTAAATTTTTGGTATTTACTAGAAAATTTTTGAAAAATTTATTGTAACTTTAGCAATAATTAATTTTTTTTACATAATATTTATGCTGATGCTGAAGATGATCAGGATAAGTATAGGAACAAAATTTGAGCCAAATTTGACTAATAGATTCGGAGAAATTTAATATTTTCATGACTAAAATTCTTAAATTTGTTGAAAATGATTAAAAATTGTGCTTTTTTAACCTCAAAACATAAATTATGAACAGAAAATTGAAGAATAGGTTGTTGGTTAACATTTTGAACAAAAAATTCGCAAATTTTATCAAAAAACAACAAAAAAGGAGCAAAAGACACAAATTTCTTTGTTTTTCATCAATAATCCATCATTTCGAAGAAGATCCAATTGCAATATTGAATGTTTTCTCTTTTCTTTTGTTGCTTGAATGGTTAATCACAGTTGTTATGCTCAATGTGTAACCGTAGTCGATGTGTTTATAGTTCTCCTAGATTAGAGCATGTCGCGTTAGTCGTGCGAACGATCGATTGCTGTTTGATTGCAACGCAGATTAATTTGTTTCAGAGCGTTACTCTACCTCGCGCGTACAGAACGCAAAACGTATACTTAATAAAACAAAAAAATTAATGCAAAGTCGAAAAGTCGTTTAGTAGAGAAACAAAAGCGCAAACAAAAACACTCGTCACATGATGAGGAATCATGGCTGCTAGTGTATACTACAATCATGAAAGTAAGTAGACAATAAGCGCCCGCCGAGACGTTTTCCTTCTTTTGCACTTCTTGCAGCGCATTCCATAGTTATCATCTTTTTTGTTTATTTTTTGTTGTTGATTTTTTTGCTTTGGTGGTGTTGTATTCTAAGTTTGTTTCTTTCATAGCCGGCACCCTAAGCGATGACGTCGACTATGAGGGATCGATAGACGAGGAAGCCGCCACGACCGCAAACCGCGCGCAGCCCATCGCCGCCGCCATGAAGGTCGACCACAGCAAGCTGAGGAAGAGCACGTCGGAGCCGCCGCCCGAGTGCCGCGTGCTCATCGACCGGCTGAAGAAGTGCAATCGCATGCAGCTGCTCGAGGAGCTCTCGAAGATCAGCACGTGGACGTTCGGCAAGTGTGAGCTGGGTCACTGGAAGGAGGTGCTTGTTATTTTCGACGCTATTCTCGACGAGGCGGCCGAGACGGAGTGCGGCAATGCATGGGCACTCAAGTGCGACACTTATGATGGATCGGTAAGCAGATTTTTTACTTTAAAAAAATAATATTTATTTGTTTTTTTTTATATATCAACAGAATAGGAAGTTGTTGCTGTGGGTGCTGCACTTTACGACGCTCCTCATCGAGCACTCGTTCTCGCGTCACACGTACAAGTCAATGGACAAACTGCTGGCGCTGCTTGCAGCCAGCGACATGTCTGTTGTCCTCGGCGTGCTCAACCTGCTCTATATGTTCTCCAAGCGGAGCAACTTTATCACGCGCATGCAGTGCATTCTACGCGCTTCACTAGTGTCTCAGTTACATTTTCTTGCTGAAGTAAGTGAAATTATCACAATAAAACCAAAACTCTAATAATATTTTGTTTTGTAGAGTTGGGGTGGAAAAGAAAACGGTTTTGGCCTGGCAGATTGCTGCAGCAATGATAAATCATTGCCTCCGTCTGCTACGACTCTACATTTTGAATTCCACGTGGATAATACCGAACCGAAGGATAAAGATGCGGCAGCAGGCGCTACAGCGTCAACCGCAGGTCCTTCGCCTGCTGCTACAGCGGCAGCTGCTAGTACTACTAGTGCACCTGCCGGTGCAAGCGTTAAAGACGCGATCAAAAGCGGCGAAGCGCCACGAGCGAGCAAACAAAGCATGACTTACATTCACGTTGAGCACGTGGACCAGCTACGGAAGTCACCCGGTGAAATAATGAAAGGAATACTTGCTTTGTACAATATTCCACCAGAAAAAGAGGTAATTTTGATATATTTTAAATAATAATTAATTAAATAATATTTTTTATTTGTAGATGTTACTGTTTACACACGTACGACTCGCCTACCACTTCTCGAATTATCGCAATCGCCTTCTCTGCGTGCAGGCGCGTCTCCAAGCCCTCAGTGTCTTGGTCTATGCGAACGCGTTGCAGGACTCTGCACACACGCTGCTCTATAATGGCCTGCTCGAGGAGCTCGTCGAATTGATCGAGCTCAAGTTGCCTTACTTGGTCGAGATTCGCTCGGCCGCGCTCAGGACACTCACGTCGATAATTCACCTAGATAGGAATCCACATTTTCCCAAGTATGTATTCACAATCACAATAATTCCGTATAATATTACCGTAGCAGACGATCGATAGATAACCGTACATTAACATCGCATTTGTTTATGTGTGTAATAGGAAACCAGGATCGAGATTGAACAATATCATCGACGTGACCGGCGCTAGCCAATACCACGGCTTTCTGCCGGTGTTGGTACGCAACTGTATCTCGTCGCTGACTAGTCAGACAAACGACAAGTCGAAATCGGGCGTTAAATCCGAGGAGATCGAAGAACCCAAAGAAGGACTTGAGTTTGCTACCGAGTTTAGCATCTCTACACAACCACTGACTGGCGTTGATACGAAAGGCCGCTTTCCACTACCATTGGCCACCGCACTCTTCAGTTTCCTCTACCATCTCGCCAGCTATGAATCCGGCGGAGATGCTTTGGTCTCTTGCGGTATGATGGAATCACTCTTGCAGGTTATCAACTGGCATGGAGTCGAATTGGAACATATTACATTTGTAACACGCGCTGTACGCGTCATCGACCTCATCACCAACGTAGACATGCAGGCGTTTTACACGCACGGCGGTCTGCAGAGCTTCATCAGCCGCCTGGACGTCGAGGTAAATCTCTGTGTATCGGAACATCCGTATGTGTTGTCTTCACTGCAGGAGAATGAGGATAGAACCGCGCCTGCGTCACCCACGTCTGCTCCGGCATCAGATGATGACACTTATTATGAGTTTCTGTTTGTGATTGAAAACCTGGGTAAAACATGTCTGGCGCAGCGGACTGCGCTGTTGAAGTCCATGTTGAATTTCCTAAAGAAAGCACTGCAAGATTCAACGTTTTCGGAACATATTCGTCATCTTATGGAAGGTACACTCCCTATTTCACTAAAACATATTATTTCGAATGCGGAGTACTACGGCCCGTCACTGTTTCTACTCGCGACTGATGTGGTTACGGTCTACGTGTTCCAAGAACCGAGTTTACTCTCTACCATCCAAGACAATGGACTCACCGATGTGGTCCTCCAGGCGTTGTTGATAAAAGACGTGCCGGCGACGCGTGAAGTACTCGCATCACTTCCGAACGTCTTCAGCGCCCTCTGCTTGAACACACGCGGATTACAATCGTTTTCAAAGTGTAAACCCTTCGAGAAACTATTCAAAGTGTTACTCTCCCCGACGTATCTATCAGCGATGCGTAAACGTCGCAGTTCTGACCCGTTGGGCGACGCGGCGACTAATCTTGGCAATGCGATGGATGAACTTATGCGTCATCAGCCAAGTTTGAAAGTCAACGCGACCACTGCAATTGTTCAGTTGTTGAATGAACTTTGTGTATTGGGAACTGATCCGAAGTATATCTGCTGGCGACCGCATAGTAAATCAGAAGCGTCGCCAGTCATCAGTCAGCGTAATAACACCAACGCAGCGGATGGGAATTCATCGGATGAAGAAGACGAAGATGAAGAGGAGGCATCCACGAGTTCACAGAACGCGCAGACTGAGAACCAAGAGAATCAGGCGACGCTGAACAGCGAGAAACACCCGATAGCTCTGACTGAATACATTCTCAATGTGACAAAGTTTGTGGATGCGATTTTGAGCAACAACTCGACCGATGATCATTGCCGAGAGTTTGTCACACAGAACGGACTTGTGCCCCTGTTGAGAATCCTAGGCCTGCCGAATTTACCCGTTGATTGCCCGATTACCAACTCAGCACAGGCTGTCGCTAGTGTCTGCAAAAGTATCTTAAACCTTGCGCATGAATCGCGTGTTTTAGACGAAGGTCTCTCGCAGTTGAACGAAGTATTGCAACGTTTAACACCGTTGTATCTCCGGTTGGATATGCCGCGAGGATCCAAACTCTTGCATGAATTAGCAAGCGCTCCTCATCTTGAAACTGCATTCAGCACAGCGTCAGCTACGCCATTGTTACACGCGATGAGCGCCGCGCATGGTTATGTATTAATGTTTGTGCATGTTTGCCGCACGGGTCAGAATGATATACGGACATTATCTCTGCAACACTGGGGCAGTTTGGAAGGCCTGAATGTCCTCAAAGGCCTCGCCGAGTTGTACACTAGTCTAGTGTGGGAGAGTACACTCTTATTAGCGTTGTGCAGCGATGATGTCATACAATCCGAGTGTGATTTCGGGAAAGAAGACATGGAAAAACTGAACATCATCACTAATGAATCAAAAGAAAGTAAGGAAGGTGATAATGTTGCGTCGGCTATGGAACAGTTAACTACTAACCCAACAGCTGCTTCATCGAGTGTCATGGATGTGGATGCTGAGTCTACACCGAGTAACAAACCAACTTCACAGCAGTTAAAGTACATCAAACCACTTTTGGGTGCTTCTTCACGATTAGGCCGGGCTTTAGCTGAGTTATTTGGACTTTTGGTGAAGTTATGTGTTGGATCACCGATTCGTCAACGTCGTGGACAAAACATGGTCTCCACACCAGCATTATCCAGCACACACGCTAGATCAGTCGCAACAGCTTTGAATGTTTTACTTGCAAATGGTCTGAATTATCATCGCTTGCCACCGAGCCCAGTACCAAAATTCCGGCTTACTTTTCTCATCTGTAGTGTGGGTTTCACAAGCCCGATGCTCTTCGACGAGAAAAAATACCCTATCATCTTATGCTGCATAAGTTTGTTGCTCTAGGCGGGCAGGTGACATTTTTCAACGCCTTTGAATGGGCTTTAAGCGCTGGTGGTTCCCTAGAAATCGAAACCGCGCTGGAAAACCCGAATCTACCCGAAGGAACCGGTGAGTTTTTGGATGCTTGGTTAACTTTATTGGAAAAGATGGTCAATCCGAAAGCCATCTTGGATTCCCCGCATGTTATATCAACACGGACAGCTACCGCGAAGAATATCGTCTTTGATCCCTTGAAATACCTCATGCAGATCCATTCGGATGCCTTCAACGCAGTCATGTTATTATGGGGTAAGAAACCTCTGCCCAATTACGGCGTGCGTATGAGTGACGCCATTCTTACGATTCTCAAACACATTCTGCGTGGAGAGCGTATTATTCACGAGAAATTAAACAAGACCGATGATAATAAAAGTGAAGCCAATCCGGCGAATTCCGCTGGTGGGACTTCATCATCCACTGCAGGTAATGGTGGTAATGCAAGCAGTGCAGTTCCGAGACTACCGGAAAACGAAGCAAGTCTAAATGCTTTGTTAGATATGGGTTTCCTGCGATTACCCGCAATGGATGCGCTTAACCGCACTACAAATCTAGAACAAGCTACGGAATATCTCCTGGCTACACCACAAGTGTCTATGGCACCACAAACCGCTGAAATTGACATGTCTGAAGATGACCAGATGGTCCTGGCTATAGCCATGTCTCTAGGAGATAATGGTTCAACCGCTGATGGACCAAAGAAGAAGGAAATCCCGAAAGACCCGAAACCAATCCCCGAGAAAGTTATCGATGAGTTTACTTGTCGCGCGCCTGATGTATGCCTGGAATTAATCGAAACAGTGCCGGAATCAGTCTTTAGAGTGTGCGATCTGTTAGTAACAATAATGAAACGTAACGGGGCGTCATTCAAACAGAACTTTATCGAAAATCTACTGGAAAAGATCAAAGATACAACTCTGCAGATTCTAAATGAGAAAAACAACGTAACACCGGAGTTTTGGTGTCAGTCGGATGCGTCACGTCGACTTGCATATTATACACATCTCTACACGCTCTTCTACGAAGTGCCTTCCTACTTTGAGTTTGATTTCATGTTGGTGTATCATTTCATCGACCTCCTGGATCTTGCCGGTAATGTGCTCACTGAGCATCGTGATGCGCCGATTCCAAAATGGCTGACACCTGTCTTGCTGCTATTGGATTCATTCGGGAAGGTTTCTGTGAGTACGCAGAGGAAATGCGAGATGCATCTTGCAACAAACCGAATCTGGAAGTGGTATGATATCGTATCAGGTAAATGGACGAAATATTCAGAGGCGAATAATAAGATAATTAATGATGCGTACTGGAATGGTGAGCAAACCGTGCGTATCACTTGCGGTCGCCGAAGATACACGATCAGTTTCACCACCATGCAGCAAATCAACGAGGAGAGTAATAATAATCGTCCGATTAGTATGACACCGACGAATTTCGCGAAATTGGCCGAGTTGGATGATACCGCTGCGCCGCCGGTGAAGTTAACTAAAAAAGAAGCAAGTCGTTGTGTTGAGTTGAAGACTTTTACGAAGGAACAAGCTGAAGGTATTGTAAAACGTTGCACAGTCTTGATGAAGACAGAAATTGATAAAGATACTCTGCATGCGATCATGCGCGTGTGTCTTAGACTCACACAGGACTTTGACATTGCTAAGTTGTTTGTCGCGCAAGGCGGCGTGCAGTGTCTGCTGAAATACAACGAAAAGTATGCGTTTAGCGGGTTTAGAACACTCGCAACTTTGTTAATCCGCCATGCGTTGGAAGGACCCGCCATTTTGGCTTACGCCATGGAGAAGGTTGTGCGTGGCAGGACCCTAGCGACTTTACCAGCGTCCTATAAAGAGTTAATGTTTTTATTGCGGAGTATAGGTAGTGCTGTAACAAGGAATTCAACAATATTCCTTGATGTAGCTAAAAATACACTGCGGATTGACAGTTCAAGAAGGATAATGGATGAAGACAGTGATTCCCGACTGTTGTTGAGTACAGAACCATCAAATAGAAGTCAAGCGCCTACCATGGTTGAGAAAGAGTCTATTGAGGCAATCTACGCGCTTTTGAACGCCTTACTTCGACCCGTCGATGATTCCTTGAAGTTATTATTTGGAATGTTGAAATCCGACTGTAAAGCACCCAAGAAACAAGCACCGCAGCCTCAACCTGCACAGGCAACCACAAGTGCACCTGCATCATCATCTTCATGCATGTTTCAGAGGGCTAGTGATCTTCTCAGTAACATTGCAACACCAGCGAGTGACATTTTGAATTTAGACACACAAGAAGAACGACCAAAACTAACCAGAACCCTAAGTGAGAGTAGCATTGAAACACAACCTGAAGACATGACAAGCAGAGCTATCCTTACAAAACCCAATATCCTGAAGATTCTAGCTGATTCAGTTGTGTCTTATGCCGGTGTGGCGCGTTTAATCACTGATTATGTTTACGATCACAATACTTGTGAGGAACTGCAGGAGGATTGTACTTGTTTAGCGTTTCTCTTCGACAAGATCCTCCCCATGGACGAGGCGCTCAGTGACCGCGAGTGTTCGAACATGTGCCGAACTTTGATCGCGGGAATCGCATCGTGTAATCACGCGCCGGAGGCGCAGACGGCGCTGGTGACTGAAGTGAAGCTGGCGTTGATCCGCGCGCTGCTGATGCCCGAGTCCACTGAGAAGCACAACCGCATTCAGCATATCACCGCAATCATCCTCAGCATGATTGAGCAGTGCCCGCCGGTGCAGCAAGTGCGCATCTATAAATCGCAGACGTTCAACGCGAATGTGAACAATATCGCGCGCTTGATGTTGCGGAAGGGTATTTTCAATGATTTAGCCCGAGTTCCGCACTGTCTTGACATGTCCAGTCCTAATTTCGCCGCCACGATCAACTCGGCGATGAAGCCGATGGAGTGCCTCTCGAAGATTGTCAACCAGCCGGTGACGGGTAACATCACCGGCAGTAGTGCGCGCAAACGCCGCCGAACGTACAACGTTGGTAGTGAGGCGGGTGCGGGTAGTGGTGGCGGTGGCAACGCCAGTGGCACCTCGACGGACGTGACGAACGCGCAGGGCGAGGACGCCGCCGAGGATGCGGAGAATACCGAGCACGACCTGTCGGCGGTCGCGTCCAGCCTAGGTGGTAACTTTTTCAATGTGCATGTTAATGTGTTGGATGAAATCGTGGAACAACTTTTAGTAGATCGCGGTCAGAACGGCAGCAGCGGAACGATGGACATTGACGACGAGTCCAATCTGGTCGTGTTCGACGAGAACGAGCGCGACGCCACCGAAGAGTTGATGAGCACTGACTCGGGCGATTCTGGCGACTCGGCGGACTCGGGCGATTCGGAGGACGACGTCGACGACGGCGAGGACGAGAATGCCGAGAACACGCTCGACGAGAACAACGACGACGACGATGATGATGAGAATGACGAGGAGGACGAGGAAGAGGACGTCGAGGAGGAGGAGGACGACGATCGCGCCGAGCCGCTGCAATTTAACGAAAACGAAGAATTTGGTAAGTCAATCATTCAAAAAATATGTTTTTCTACTTTCACCTTTAAAGCGCCACCTTTTCCACGGTTTCCTACGCGAAAAGTGACACTTTATTCACGAAAAGTATTTTAGTCACGGGTTTTAGTCACAGGGTGGGGCTAAAACGTGGAAATAAAGTGGAAGTAGAAAAAATGGCGTAATAACGTGGCTAAACATTGTTAAAGTGCCATTTTGCGCACTTAATACTTAATATTTTATTAAAAACACAAATTAATGTAATTTTTATTTTCTTCTAATAGCTAATATGGATCGTGATGAGGACATTGTAATGCTGCAATATGCTGACCAAGAGTCCGAACACGAATCACTGCCACGAATGGTGCGCTGGAACGAGAACGGCTTCGCGATCCCAACGCTCCAATTCGAAGACTCGAACAACGCCAACGATCAAGCCGCGCCGACGATACATCCACTCCTGGTATCGCGGCAAACGCAAGAGGCAGCCGTCGCCAATATGGCGCGCGCGCAACGCACCAGCCGCACGCGCCGCTATCAATACTTCCAGCTCAACACGCGCAACGCCAACCCGCCTGTGATACTTCAAAGGTAATAAACTAGAAACCATCGCTCAATTGTGTGTTTAATTAATCGTACCAGTATTTTCAATAGGTTGCTGGGTCCAGCCGGGCGCAATCTTCACATCGGTGCGTCCAACGTCTTCAATTCCAACGTGAATGTCACGCGTGATTCCGCACGCGTTGTTGTCATGGATAACATTGGCATCTTCCCGTCTGTAGAGGAGCAAATTGATTTTGTCGATCAGACTGGATACATTTTCGGTCCGAGTATGCTGGCGACTATTAACCACATCCCGGTTGTGCTGCACTGGTGGAAGGAAGAGTCGCGGTTCATCGATGGTGATTCCATGCATGACATTGTCACCACGCTTAGCAATGACCTGATTCCTAGTCTGGTGAAGCACAAAAAGCAAATTGCTCAAGAGAAGAAGATGAAGATTAATATCCTGGCTACGTCTACGCCTAAAGAAGAGATTGATAGGCCTTTCTGGCCGGAGGAGAATAACCCGAACAGTGCGCCACCTGCGGAAGAACAACAGCCCGCAGCTCCGCCGCTAGATTTACCTCTAGCTAGAGGTTTCGGTATGTTGCCACAACAAGAAGCACGGCCTGATCCGCCAGTTCCACCTGTGCCACCACCGATTGAGCTACCATTGTGGATTACACCACCGCATGAAATGATTGACTTGTCTGGTTTCGAACAGAATGAGATTCCAGCACCGCCTATGCCCGAGTTGCAGGAAGATGGGCCGGAAACCGAGCGTGAACAACGCGCGCCAAGCGCCGAACGCAATCAGGAACAACGCCAGGAAGTTGATATTGTTGTGTCGGAGAATCCTTCGTTTAGTCCCGACTCGCATTCGTCTATCTGCGAAGAGGACGCGGATTTCTTCCGGCGTAACTACCCACAAGAACAGACCATGACTGAAGAAACAGCAAATAATCAATCTAATGCTACGACTAGTAATGAGGAGACTCTCACGCCTGCTTTGGTAGATGCTGAATTACCAGAAGCGCCTGAAACTCAACCTGCAGGTGAGACTACTTTTAGTACAGCGAATAATCCCGCAGAAGGACATTTAGCGGCCACGGCAGCAGTTGCCGCAGCAGCTGTGATTGCTGCAAGAATTGACGCGGAAGATGAAGTACCCGACGGTGTAGATCCGTCATTCTTGGAAGCACTACCTCCGGAGATGCGCCGTGAAGTTCTCGAACAACATAGAATGCTACGACTGCAAGAGAGAATATCCGCGACCACTGTACCGGCTGAACCCACAGCAAGTGGATCCAGTGAAGTTAGTCCTGAATTCCTAGCAGCTTTACCACCATCGCTACAAGAAGAAGTCTTAACTCAACAGAGATTAGAACAACAAAGGCAGGCAGCAACCAGGGCGAACCCTGATGAACCCGTGGACGCTGCGTCGTTCTTTGAAACCCTACAACCATCACTACGTACCATGATTTTATCCGATATGGAAGATTCACAGATGTCTGCACTTCCGCCGGATCTAGCCGCAGAGGCGCAAACCCTACGCAGAGATTGGGAGGCACGCAATAGACAAATGCAGGTACAAGAACGCTTCCTCGAAGCTAATCTTACTACGATCATTAGACACACCGGTAGAGGTCGCATTGCGTCTAGATTCAACGCTGCGCATCTTTTACCGCAATGGGCGCAACGGCCTGACTTCCCATCGAATCACCCCGCTGGTAGTATCAAGATTCGAGGTAGGCAACTCCTCGACCACGAAGCATTATCGTGTCTCTTGGTGTTACTCTTTGTTGATGATCCCAAGTTGAACACTAGTCGCTTGCATCGCGTGATTCGCAACCTGTGTCATCATGTCCCCACGCGTGACTGGGTCGTCCGGGCGTTGTTGAGTATCATCGACCGCAGTGTCCACGTTAAACCCGACGAGCTTACATCGAACAAGGCGAAGAAAACACCGAAACCCGGCCCGTTGAGCAGTAAACTAACAACGGACTCGAAGAACATGGGTAACGGTGCGAACTGGTTGAATATTCGCATGGAGGCTGCCCTCGGTTGTCATGCGAATGTTTTATTGTCAATCGCGCGCCTGGTAAACGCACTGAGAAGAACTCTAGTAATTCCAGCGTGACGATTCATTCACAAGCAGCCCCGATTGTTTGCCGTAATGCTTTGGACATTTTCACATCGTTATCCCGCACGTTCCCCACGTTTTTACTGCCGTTGAAACCCAAAGAGAAGAATAAGACAGAAAAGTCGACTGCACGTAATAATAAAGCCGAATCGACTGACTTTTGGGATATGCTGCTTAAACTGGACGCCGCCAGTACCAAAAAGGGTAAGAGTTTGAATAAGACACATAATAGCACTTTCAATCTCGGCGCGGATACGGATAATTTTGTACAGTCATTCGAGCAGAGCGCGTTTGGTGCGCTGTTGGGTATGCTTAGCTCTAACGTGATAAAAGGCAGCATTCAGTTAACTGATAAACTCCTGCGGTTGTTATCGGTGATATCCACCGGAATGCCGGAGTTGTCCAAAGGTGACTCCAGCTCCACAACGAAAGCAATCGCGCAGAATTATGAAAGTGTAGCTGCACCGGAAGCCGCATTGAACCTGGCTGTAAACGTACTTACTTATAAGAGTTGCTCTGAAGAAGGTCTGGAAGATGTGACGGCTCTATTGCTCAATTTATCCACGTGCTCTCTGGAGATGAGCAGATCCATATTGAATCTGCTGCTGCAAGGCGCCAAACGCATCGGGGAGATTGTCCAAGGTCAGATTGGTAATATGCTCACAGAGTTGCAGCGCACGCATACAAAGTCGAACAAACCGAAGGAAGAACAGCAAGGTGCAAGCACCTCGAAGGGTATACTCAATAATCGCTTCACGAACGAACACGTTGTTATTACTGCATCCTCCAAGGTGAAGACATCCTGTGACCTGCAGTTACCATCAATGGCACCGCTCACTTCGAAATCATCAAGTCAAGTATTCTTCCTGCGTGTGTTACGCGTGATTGTTCAGATTAGGGAAGCGATTACCAATAAAAAGGGTCCTGACGGTGTGGGGCTTACATTGGGTCCACTGAGTGAGCAGTTAGATGACCCGCAAGGACTCTGGCATACGTTGAGTCTTTGCCTTTTGGAATTGGAGCATACTCCGGATCATCATGCGGTGTTGGTGTTGCAACCAGCTGTAGAAGCATTCTTTTTGGTGCATTCACCACCGCAGGAAGCTGCTTCCACAACAGAAAACAAACCGCCGGCGAATAGCGCCACGCAAGGACAAGCTGCGGTTCAAGCGCCTGCAAGTCAAACACCAGCTATAGGTCCACCGGAATCTACCAGTGCGCAGGGTGAAGCTGGTGAAGCTTTGGTCTCGTTGACTTTAAGCGATATCATGGAAACCAGTGGTAGAAGTGGCGTTCAGCCTGAACATCAAAAGTTCCTTACGTTTGCCGAGATGCATCGCACCGTTTTGAATCAGATTCTGCGCCAGACAACATCACATCTTGCTGATGGACCGTTCTCTGTGCTGGTTGACCATACTAGGGTTTTGGACTTTGATATCAAGCGCAGGTACTTCCGTACGGAGCTAGATCGTCTTGATCAGAATATCCGAAGGGAGGAAACAGCGGTTCATGTGAGAAGAGAGCATGTTTTCGAGGATTCATTCAGGGAATTGTACAGAAGAAGTCCGGAGGAGTGGAAGAACAGATTCTACATTGTTTTCGAAGGTAAAATATTAATATTTTAATGCTTTTGGGTTGTTTTTACTAATGTTGTTGTTTATTTAGACGAGGAAGGTCAAGACGCAGGCGGTCTTCTCCGAGAATGGTACGTCATCATCTCGCGAGACATCTTCAACCCAATGTACGCCCTCTTCACCGTCTCACCTGGAGATCGTGTCACGTATATGATTAATTCTGCAAGTCACTACAACCCGAATCATCTTTGTTACTACAAGTTTGTCGGGCGAGTCATTGGTGAGTTAAACTTTTTAATGAAAGTGAAAGTTATTAATTTCTTTGTTTTTGTTGTGTTTTATTATAGCTAAAGCAATTTACGATAATAAACTACTCGAGTGTTACTTCACTCGATCGTTCTACAAGCATATATTAGGCATACCGGTGAAGTACACCGATATGGAGAGCGAAGATTACAGCTTCTATCGCGGATTGGTCTACCTCATGGAAAACAACATCAACAATTTCGACTGCGATCTGTCGTTTAGCACCGAGATTAACGAGTTTGGTGTGACGGAGACGCGCGATCTTATCCCGAATGGCCGCAATGTGCCTGTTACTGAAGAGAATAAGATGGAGTATGTGCGGAGGTCCTGCCAGATGAAGATGACTGGCGCCATTAGACAACAGTGAGTTTTTTTTTGCAATTATTTTCTAGTTATTTTCTTGTAATATGAATAATTAATTGTTTGTGTTTTTTAGATTGACTGCGTTCCTTGAGGGATTCTACGACATTATACCGAAGCGTTTGATTTCGATTTTCAACGAGCAAGAGCTGGAACTGCTCATCTCTGGTCTGCCAAACGTGGATATTGAAGACCTGAAGGCAAATAGTGAATATCATAAATATCAAGCCAATTCTTTACAGGTAAGCAATTTAAATTTAAACTTTAATTTGTGATTGTGATATTTAATGCAAATTATTTTTCAAAATTTAGATCCAATGGTTCTGGAGGGCTTTGCGTTCTTTCGATCAGGCTGACCGTGCGAAATTCCTGCAGTTTGTCACTGGCACATCAAAGGTGCCCCTGCAGGGCTTCGGCGCGCTGGAGGGCATGAACGGCGTTCAGAAATTCCAGATACATCGCGACGATCGATCCACTGATCGTTTACCCTCGGCTCATACTTGGTAAGATAAATATTTCTCTTAACTCATTTGTAAAATGCTAATTTTAACCTTTTTATGTTAGTTTTAATCAGCTGGACCTGCCAGTCTACGAGACGTACGACAAGCTGCGATCGTATCTGCTAAAAGCCATCCATGAATGTTCGGAGGGCTTTGGCTTCGCTTAAAAATTGATAATAGCATGTTTCTGTTCAAAGACTGATAAAAAAAAAACACTTTTAAACCGAAGGCAACCGAACGAACACGAACATAACGCGTGTAGGGAAAAATAATTAGTTGTTTTACAAAGAGGGGTGTATCGTCACCCCGCCATAGTGTCTTCTTACCGTCGCAAACATAAACAAAAAAAAACACAAAAACGCAAACATTAGTTTCGTCTTGCGCGCCACGTAGCAATCTACAGTTTCGTTTTCTGATTACATACTTTCCTTACGATAATCGTTTTTATGAATTCAAAATGTAAATAAGTATTTGTGTACAGAACTCTGATATTTTGCAATGTGTAATATAAGAATGTTAGCAAAGTAAAGATTAAAAAGAAAAACTACTATAAGTTGTAAGAATTATATAGGCGATTCGCAGTAAGGACACAGACACACACACGGAATATTTGCGTATACATATAACGAAAATGTAAACACAGACAGACACAACACGTTTCAACGCTAGCATAGTTTGTTTGCCGATATCCGGCCGGCGAGATTGTTTCATGCGAGGCAGACTTACGAATGGCACAAACATATTTTTGTAAACGGGCGCCGTCAGTCGTGCGGCTGGCGGCCGCAGATTTGTCGTGATAGATTGAATTTGAATGCCGCAGAATTCAGGTTCTCTCCTTAAAATGATTTGTTAACGTTAGGATGTTGTTTGAATTCTTTTTCGTTTCGTCCGCCGCGCCCATCCTCATACTGCGAGAAGAATTCGATGGCGGACCGTCGCGAGCACGTTTAATTTGATAAGCATTGAGTTTCATTTCATTTAAGTGGATGGGGATTCGTTTTTGAGTTTCGATACACGATTAGCGAGGCGCGAATTGTTAAGTAATGTGCAAAAAGCCTGTAGCGGACTGCCACAGTCAGACCCGTCATGTTTCTTTGACTTTTATAACAATTCATTGTATTTTTTGTGATACAACTCTAATAATAAAGATAATTTCTTAAACAAGAGCATGTTTATGCTATTTTTTCCAAACTATTGGATATAAACTAGTGAAACAAGTGGAAAACTTTGATTTAATAAGTTATCTAACGCAGTAAGAAGCATTTTTTAAATACATTTTGAAAAGTTGTATATTGCTACTTAAATGTATATTGGGTTGCATACATTCAGGGGATTTATAACTTTTAATTTATCAATTTTCTATGAAAAAGCAAAAATAACGCAAGCTGAAAATCATAGACACAAATAATTTCTCATAAATATATTTTGATTACACATTAAAAATACTTCGATTTTCTTATATTTAAAAGAATTTCACGCCCTGGTTGTCATCAAACATGATCATTTCACATTTCCCTTGGTCTTCAAGCACTTTCAGTACTTTTATAAGAATCTCAGGTGCAAGTTTATAGAAATCTATAGAAAAAAATAGATAATTTATACCATTACAATAATGTTACATGTTATTACCTTGTCCTTGTACTTCATCACCTTCTGTTAACTCATAAAATGTGAGTACTGTCTGTGTGCTATTGCTGTCAGTAATGTAAGAGTAAATAATATTAGCAAATTCTTCCAAAGTGTGCCAATAGATTTCCCATCTTAATTTCTGCTTATCCAAAGGTGCAGAATAACCTGTTTGTTGTAATTCACTCAGGATTAGATTTAACAAGTCTGCTTGAATTGTTCGATTAATACTAGCATTGGAAAACAAAGATATATCTTTCGTTTCTCGCGTATCCACGAAGCAAATCTTCTGTGTCTTGCAGTAATTGAGCACTAGGGCTTTCCATGCAACCAACTGCTTAGCCCTTGTGTCAGAATGTGTTTGTAAACTGAAAATGAGCCCAATAAAATTTATTTTTTCAAGAGGTGCGTGTTGCTTACGTGAAAAAGGGCGGAAAATTGTATTGCCATGGCCATTCAATGTCTACTTCGCCCATGATTTAGAATATTATTATATTACTTAAAGATTAAACTTATAGTTTCAGGCAACCTAAAAAGGTTTAGGGTGAATCACAACACAACTTTATCTGGAAATAACCCAGCGTAGTTGTAGAAGTTGAATGAAAAGTGCGCAACCCACAAAGCGTCATGGTTTTCTCTAAACAAGAAATGTTGTAAAAACTCAAATTGAATTTCAATACCTACACGTAGTATATCGCATAGATGCATAAACAGAATAGTTGTAATTCTTTCCAATCATGTTTTTGTTTATTTCAATTGCGTCCGATATTATCAATCGTGAACTCAAGGTAAATTTAACTTTATAATGCAAGCACAGATGTCGCTAGCATTTACATATTTGCAGAAAATACGAAGCGATGTATTTGTTTGTTTTCATAAGTTAGTTGCACGCAATCTTCCTAGCTAGGCGCACGTATAGTTCGATTGATCGTGTTTATTGACATTGGTGGTCAAGGACAAGTTTGTTGATTTACCAGTAGTTCATTTCACGTTGAGTGTTTGTAGTCGCATTTTAAATCCCTTTTGGTGATTTGGGGAATGTTACAACGTTGATATCCGGTAAGTCATTATTAAATCTTTAACGTTAATTGTGAGTAGCATTTTTGTAAACTGTAAATTAATTATCTTTGCACTATTGCTTTATTATTATTTTGTTATATTATGGTGCAGACGAAAGAGGTGTGATTGTAGTCAAATTCATTAATTTCATTGATCATATTTTAAGAGAAGTACGCGAATATCATTTCTTCCCAACATCACCTGTTCAGTACTGTGCTGCAGTTAAAATTTTAACACATAGCTTGATATTTTCATGTTTTTCTCTTTATTATCTTATGGAAAAAGAGTTTTTCTCTAAATTGATGTGCATCTCATCCCTCGTTGTGTTTTTTCAGTGTTTTGCTCTAAAAAAAAGTTTTTGCAGTTTTGGTTTATGGGTTTAACCCTCGGGGAAATCTACAAAAATGCCCTTTTTTGTGTTTTTTGCTCGGCTAATTTTGTGTGTTTTTTTTTGTTTAAGCGGGCGAACGCGATGTCGTAGGGCAATCATTTTTGCAATAAATTGTAGGTATTAAAATTCTTTATAATTTTCACATATAACTTGTGGGTTTAACCCTTGGGAAACCTACCAAAATGCCCTTTTTGTGTTTTTCGGTCGGCTAATTTTGTGGTTTTTAGTGTTTAGCTGGCGAACGCGATGTCGTAGAACAACCGTTCTTTCACCAAATTGTATTAAAAATCTAAAAAGTATTAAAATTCTTTGTTATTCGAAATTTTTTGTTTAAATTTTTTCGGTCGAAAAACAGGGTCGAACTTTTTTTACTTAAAATTTTTTTGTTAAAACTTTTTCTGTCAAATTTTTTTGAAAAAAAATTTTCGTTCGAACTTTTTTGTTAAAACTTTTTCGGTCGAATTTTTTTGTTAAAATTTTTCGGTCTAAAAACAGGATCGATTTTTTTTTACTTACAAATTTTTCGGTCAAAGAACAAAGTCGAATTTTTTTGGCGATTATCTCATGAACAAGAAGGTCTACGAAAAACGAATGCATTCTTCTTTAAAATTGTAAATAGGGTCTAAACGGTTAATGTTATCAAAAAAAGTTACCAAAATAATCGATGTAAAATTAAATTATCTATCAGGCTTCCAATTTAAAATTTAATTGTAATTAATAGTTCCATGCATAGTGCGAGTACAATTCTATTCATGTTCTGCACTACCACACTGACAGCGTCAGTGTTTACAAACAAACATGTTTTCTTATCTCGTGCAATTTTTGTGCGATCGCCACGCGGTTGACTTGTATCAACTTGTATACCACGTTAGTCTCATTTTTGTCGTTAGGTGTTCTGCACGCACATTTTCTCCATTATATCTACCTGGTGTCCCCAACTAGATGTTTACGCCGGCTGACGATTCTCTTTCCTGCTTAGTCGGTCGTGCCCGGTAGTGTCGCGAGCACGTGTTTTGTTCGTAAGTCTATCTGCATAGTTATCAGTGGTGTCAGGGTGAGTTCGGAATGAATTTTCTAGATGCAGAATTTAATTCTATATCTCCCTGTATTGTGTGTGTGCCCGTAGTACTCGTTGCGCTAGGAATTGTTATAATATTTATAATTATTTCCTGCAGATAAACAACGTTGGTGCCCAGAAGAAGTTTGTGAGTGCCCGATCCATGGAGTTTGCAATATCTATAGCGGAAGTGTTGGAGATGCGCGTACTTTAAGGCAAGTCTTTACTGCTACGGGAATTGATAGTCGTAAATTGTTTTCTTGCTTAAAAACTATGTACCTATGTATTTTTAAAAGTTATTAATAAAACACTTATTACATTTATAATCTTATTCATATTTCTATTTGGTACCCTCTTTGTCGTTTTCAGTATTAAATAGTATGGCATATAACTTAAGTACGTGACGCAGGTATAACGTAACTGTTGCTTGAATTGTGTTGTTGTTTTTAAAAACATGATAAAAGTAGAAACATAAATAGAAGAATCAAATAAGAGTGATAAAAACACTCGGTGGTCGAGTGGAGACGTGCACCTGCTGGCATGCTAGCAGACACGGATCGAATCCCAGGTATAGAAGGCATTTTTCTCAAATATAAAAATATCAGGTGTAATTTGGGTTGCATATATGAATTGCAACGAAATATAAGAGAAATTGAAATACAAGTGAAAGCAATAGAAGTAAGAAAGTAAATGGAGAAAGGAGAACAGGGAAAAAGGAGAATAAGAAGAAGTAGGAGAAAAGCTAGAGGGAAGAGAACAGAGTAGAGAGGAGGAGGAGATAGAAGAAAGAGAACAAGGGAGGATCAGATTTTTAAATTTTTTGGCACGTGTCGTTATAAGACAGTCTACGGTCGATCTCCCAGAGCGCCTCCGGCGCTCTGGTCGATCGCCCACTGCTTCGGTCCATCCATTGCTCCCGGCCCATCCTACAGCTACGATGTCTCTGCGCTTCATCCCCGAAATTATCAGGCATATCAACAATTTTAATGGTGGGGGATCACCCCCAGAGAGAGGGAACTCCTTATAAGGACAATCCTTATGAGGCCTTGTTTAAATATTTCTAAGTTTTAAGTCGCCTTAGGAGAGGTGACACTTAAAAATATTCTTACAAGTTCTGACCTGTAGCTGAAATGAAAGAAGGAGTACACAAATCATACAGGTTACCTTAACAATTTCTGTAGAGGGGATCATCCCCTGAGAGAGGGAACTCTCTTAGAGACCTGTTCCTGAAATGATAGAAGGCGAACACACAAATCAAAGAAGTGAATATATCTTACTATTTATTTATTAACAATAGAATACAAGTTTAAAATTTACATGTCAACAGAATGTATTCATGTATGTCGCCATATTGAAATAGGACTTACGACCTGCATAGCCGCGCACATGGCAGCAAGTACTACTTCATAAAGTATTACCGGGATAATGAAATTAGTAAATAGCTGCCAATTTTCTAGGTGACTGAAAATGGAATGGAAACAAATATACAGGGTGTTTCAGAAAGAAAATTCAAAGTACAAAAGAGAAAAATGCTAAAAACAACAGTTGAAGCAAAATTTTCACGGACACGAAGGAAAACGAATATACAGGGTGTACCAAAAAATCCCAAGATTGAAACAAAGAACATCCAAAACTCACAACTAATGGTGATTTCCTACGTGCTGTTAAGAAAACTAATATACAGGGTGTTACAAACAGAAAACTTTCAAAACTACAAAGATAATATATATTCACATCATGACACGGGACACTGGACGGGATATTGAAACAGGACTTACGACCTGCATAGCCGCGCACATATAAGGAAGTACCACGTCATAAAGTTCTACCGGCATTAAGAAATTAACGAATGATCGATTTCCTACGTAATTGCAAAAGGAAACAAATATACAAGGTGTTATAAAAATAAAAACAAATCATTTCGAACTTACTCTGACACCGCGTTCGCGTGTTATACTAAAAAAAACAACAATAATTCCTAGCGCAACGAGTACTAAAGGCACACACACACAACTTTCAATATAACTCGCGTTACGGAATTTTCTCGCAATAAATTTCGATACGGGGAGATACAGAATTAAATTCTGCATCTAGAAAAATCATTCCGAACATACTCTGACACCGCGTTCGCGTGTTATACTAAAAACAATAATTCCTAGCGCAACGAGTATTACGGGCACACACACACAACTTTCAACATAACTCGCGTTACGGAATTTTGTCGGAATAAATTTCGATACAGGGAGATATAGAATTAAATTCTGCATCTAGAAAAATCATTCCGAACTTACCCTGACACCACTGATAACTATGCAGATAGACTCACGAACAAAACACGGGCTCGCGACACTACCGGGCACGGCCGACAAAGCAGGAAAGAGAATCGTCAGCCGACGTAAATATATAGTTGGGGACACCAGGTAGATAATTGTAGTATTGTATACTTTTATTATTTATGTATTGGTATATTAATGTCAATTAGTTACTGCATTCAGAAATTAATTTGCTTTCGGAATCCAAAAACAAAATTTAATAATTAAAGCACAAATCAGAATTTTTGTTTGAATCATGTAAAGCAATTGGAAAACGCAAACAAGTAAGTCCATAATGAATTTGACTATCAAATGGCTGAAGAAGTGCGAGAACATACCTTGTTGCAAAATAAATGTTTGCGTTTTGGTATATCCAATAAGTTGTATGGACCTAAATGATGCACATTGTAGAACCGATGAAATACGCGTATAATACAAAAAGAATACGACGGCCGACGGAACATCACTCACGCTTTGCCTCTGAGTATGTACAATCCGCATGGTACGAACCCCGCACATCAATCGCGCACAATCGAAGATAAATTAAGGAACTCAAGAATAATGGAGAAAATGTGCGTGCAGAACACCTAACGACAAAAATGAGACTAACGTGGTACACAAGCCAACCGCGTGGCGATCGCACAAAAATTGCAGGAGATAAGAAAACATGTTTGTTTGTAAACACTGACGCTGTCAGTGTGGTAGTGCAGAACATGAATAGAATTGTACTCGCACTATGCATGGAACTATTAATTTCGATTAAATTTTAAATTGGAAAGCTGATAGATAATTTAATTCTACATCGATGATTTTGGTAACTTTTTTTGGGAAAATGAACCGTTTAGATACTATTTACAATTTTAGAGAAGAATGCATTCGTTCTTCGTAGATCTTTTTGTTCTAGACATAATCACCAAAAAATTCGACTCTCTTCTTCGACCGAAACATTTGTAAGTAAAAAAATTCGATCCTGTTTTTCGACTAAAAAAATTTTAACAAAAAAATTCGACAGAAAAAGTTTTAACAAAAAAATTCAACCAAAAAGTTTTAAGTAAAAAAGTTTGACCCTGTATTTCGACCAAAAAAATTTAAACAAAAAATTTCGAATAACAGAATTTGAATATCTATAATTTGGTGAAAGAACGGTTGTCCTACGACATTGCGTTCGCCCGCTAAATACTAAAAACCACAAAATTAGCCGACCGAAAAACACAAAAAGGGCATTTTTGTAGGTTTCCCGAAAGTCAAACTCACAAATTATACATGAAAATTATAAAGAATTTTAATACCTACAATTTGGTGAGAGAACGGTTATCCTACGACATGGCGTTCAGCCGCCAAATACTAAAAACAGCAAAATTAGCCCACCAAAAAACACAAAAAAGGCATTTCTGTAGGTTTCCCGAGGGATAAACCCACAAATTATACATGGAAATTATAAAGAATTTGAATATCTATAATTTGATGACAGAAGGGTTATCCTACGACATGGCGTTCACCAGCTAAATACTAAAAACCACAAAATTAGCCGACCGAAAAACACAAAAAGAGCATTTCTGTAGGTTTCCCGAAGGATAAACTCACAAATTATACATGAAAATTATAAACAATTTTAATATCTATAATTTGGTGGGAGAACGGTTATCCTACGACATGGCGTTTACCCGCTAAATACTAAAAATCAGCAAAATTAGCCCACCAAAAAACACAAAAAAGGCATTTCTGCAGGTTTCCCGAGGGATAAACCCACAAATTATACATGGAAATTATAAAGAATTTGAATATCTATAATTTGATGACAGAACGGTTATCCTACGACATGGCGTTCACCCGCTAAATACTAAAAACCACAAAATTAGCCGACCGAAAAACACAAAAAGGGCATTTCTGTAGGTTTCCCGAGGGATAAACTCACAAATTATACATGAAAATTATAAACAATTTGAATATCTATAATTTGGCGGAAAGAACGGTTATCCATCGACATGGCGCTCACCAGCAAAATTCTAAAAACCACAAAATTAGCCGACCAAAAAACACAAAAAGGGCATTTTTGTTGGTTTCCCGAGAGATAAACTCACAAATTATACATGAAAATTATAAACAATTTGAATATCTATAATTTGGTGAAAGAACGGTTATCCTTCGACATGGCGTTCACCAGGAAAATACTAAAAACCACAAAATTAGCCGACCGAAAAACACAAAAAGGGCATTTCTGTAGGTTTCCCGAAGGATAAACTCACAAATTATACATGAAAATTATAAACAATTTTAATATCTATAATTTGGTGAGAGAACGGTTATCCTACGACATGGCGTTCACCCGCTAAATACTAAAAACCGCAAAATTAGCCCACCAAAAAACACAAAAAAGGCATTTCTGCAGGTTTCCCGAGGGATAAACCCACAAATTATACATGGAAATTATAAAGAATTTGAATATCTATAATTTGATGATAGAACGGTTATCCTACGACATGGCGTTCACCAGCTAAATACTACAAACCACAAAATGAGCCGACCGAAAAACACAAAAAGGGCATTTCTGTAGGTTTCCCGAGGGATAAACTCACAAATTATTCATGAAAATTATAAACAATTTGAATATCTATAATTTGGCGAAAGAACGGTTATCCTTCGACATGGCGCTCACCAGCAAAATTCTAAAAATCACAAAATTAGCCGACCAAAAAACACAAAAAGGGCATTTCTGTAGGTTTCCTGAGGAATAAACTCACAAATTATACACGAAAATTATAAACAATTTGAATATCTATAATTTGTTGAAAGAATGGTTATCCTACGAGATGGCATTCACCAGCAAAATACTAAAAACCACAAAATTAACCGACCAAAAACAACAAAAAGGGCATTTTCGTAGGTTTCCCGACGGATAAACCTACAAATTATACATGAAAATTATAAAAAATTCGAATATCTATAATTTGGTGAAAGAACGGTTATCCTACGACAGGGCGTTCACCAGCAAAATTTTAAAAACCACAAAATTA